CTCTTTCGCCGTGGAATTCGGGGCGGACACACCAGTTTCTGATGGAATGGATGCTAGAAAGCTGTCGTGGTGCTCTCAGAGGCAGGAACGCGCGTTTCAAATGCCGTGGCGCTTGAAAACAGTTTTGTTTCTCCTTACATTTCGGGTAAAAAAAGCGTCCAGAAACTGAGTTTTGGATTTTCTGAGAGGTTTTCAGAGTGTTTTAACCTTGGTTTACTGCCCACGGAAATTGCATCGAAACCTGGAACACGAAGCTGCGCCAGCATTGCCATTCTGAACAAGACCTGAAGTCTCATGAGGACTGACTGCCACAACCGACGGCGGGCAAGTCAACTGGCAAACTCTTCGGCTGGTACTGCGTCACGTTTGTCCCCGGCTGTCTGGCTGTTCTGCGAGGAAAAAGTTGCTCGGGGCTGGGGCGGCTATCGACCTCCTTGACGTCGGGCAAGCGCCAAACAATCTGCTGATGACAAGTCCAGAATAGGAATTCCACGTTTACGCGAGAAATGTGTAATTATTGGGCTGACTTTTCCTGCAAGCTTGATTTGACACTAGAAAAAACGATTCCTGTTTCCCGCAGAAAGCCTATGGTAAGAAAACGGCTGATTTCCGGGAAAAACGAGGAAGCACTTATTTTATCGTATAAAATCAATGTGCAACCTCCAAGCGCCCGAAGTAGAGGTAAATGGAGCGCAATAATCGTTGGGCTCCAGCAGCAAAAAAATGGTTTGCCGCATTAGCGTTAATTAAGTGTGCGGGCCAAAATGTTGCTTATCGTTCCCAGCACCGTGCGTGGCACCGTAAGTCCAGGTCGGAGGTGACATCTGCCCCACCCCGCCCCGCGCTGCTCGCGTTGCACTGGCGCGTGTTGCACTGGCTGTTTCCCACGCTCAAACGGTGGCGCAAGTACACTGCAGTGTTATGCGCCGGACTGGCACACCACCCAGAGAAGGCAGAAAGTCCAAACGACACGTCTCAATGACAACAAAATGAGCTTCATCTGAGCCACATTGTCTATTCAGACGTCGTGTCCTGAAGGTGATTTCTGTGTCCCCCCAAAACACTGTCTATTTTGACGTCGTGTCCTGAAGGTTAATTATGTGGTCCCCCCCCCAAAAAAACATTGTTTTTTTCGACGTCGTGTCCTGAAATTGAATTCTGTCTCCCCCCGCCGGGAATATGCGGTCACATTTGACAGAATGACAATATCGTGACGTTCTTTTGTATACGTTGCCACATTAGAATGTGATATCCTAATGAAACGGCCGAGTTATGTCCAAAAGAATGTGACATCGTTTTTAAACAAATGTGACAAAATTAACGTTTTAAGGAATATGACGTCACATTGGTAGAGGAACAGTGAAGCCGTACATGTAAGAACTCCGTCCAGCGGTAAAAATAATTCTGCGTAACTTACGTAGGTACCTCTGGCTGCCAAAGGGACACCTTCGTTAATTCGCACGAAGGTTCTTTGTAGTTTGAAAAGACTCTTTGCACTGTGAGAAAAAAAGTACAGAACATCTCTGGTCAATAGCCTGGACCGTCCGTACTTGCCAACTACGGAACGTTCCGTACTTTTCTCCGTACCTCCGTACTACATTTTTCTGTACCATTTCCGTACAAAAGTACGGAATTTTTTTACAGTGCGTCGTAGATTGATAAAAATTCTTTGTTGGTTTTTTTAATGAATAATCTTTGTGAATTTTCGAAAGGATCCCTTGACAACATGTTCGTTCCGAGGCATCTTTGTCGAGTCCCAATTTATTTTTTGTGCAGCGGTGATCTTTGCAAGGTCCCCATCTGGAACCTCTCGGCGACGGACTTCCGTCGTCAAATTGGTGCGGTTTGCTCGCCGGCCTTTCCGCCAAATCGGCCGATCCACTGCAGAGACTACGGCGACGTCGGAGAGCCGCTAATCTGTCGTCTTGTACCGTACTCTGTAATCGGCGGCGAAAATGAAAGCGTTATGAAACGGAGCGGCCGCGACCGGCTAGCCTAGCGATGCCAAGCCGAGCCAAGCGGAGCCGAGACGAGTTGAGTTCAGACGAGCCAAGCCAAGCCGAGACGAGTCGCGCACACTAAATGTTGTTCTGGACGAAATGTTGCACGTGACGTCGCTGTCTTTGTGCGGATGAACTGCCCGTACAAATTTGTAAAAGATTTTGCACAAACATGACCAGTCTTTCAAGTGAATACATCGTACAAATAATGTGATTGCCACGAAATGGCAAGCCATTTTGAATGCGAAAAATCTTTCAGGCTTACCAATATTTAGCATTCGGCTTGCCAATTTTGCGGCAAGTGACTTTGCCACCGGATCTGCCGTGCTGAAACGTCTCGACCAAATTGTACGTATGATTTAGTGTGAGCCGAGGTCGAGTTGTTCCGAGTTGAGCCGACAATTGGGGTAGTGAGACAGAGACAGAAAACCCGAAAAGAGCTAAAAGCGCTTCCTGGATGCACGGCCGTGGTGGGGAAGAGCACGGTGAGCCGGGCGTGGTGGCCCAGAGCCTCATTAGGCGCCAGGGCATGGAAACAAAAATAATATTATTTTTACAGGCCGGTCCAGGCTTTGTTTTTAGCAGATGAACTTTTACCGTGCAAAAGCGAACGCCGATAAAGTGAAAATAATCACTGAGAATAAAAGAGTCATGATCATCACTAAAATTTTTGAGCGAGGAATTCTTTATCACCCATATTTTGGCGACGAAGGTTTCCTCGCCCATATTTGGGTGCACTGGTAGAACTAAAGCGTAGTATTACCCTCTGTTTTCAAGCGTAATCAGGTTACGCTTGAAATCAAGCGTAACAGGCCCCACCGCCAAGATTCCCCCTATCTGAATGCATGGGGGAATTTCCAGAGTATGCTTCACTTCAAGCGTAACGTCTTCAAGCGTAACTTTCTGCTTGACTCAAGCATAGAGTTACGCTTTAGTTTTACCAGTGTGAGGCTGGTTTTCTCACCCAAATTTGGGTCATAATACTATGGAGCCATATAGGCAGCTGACACACCCCTCCTCGTTCAATTTTGGTCAAGGAAGCTTTCCTCGCACAAATTTTTGGCGAAAACACAATCCTTGCCCAAATTTGGGTGATAAAGTATACATCGCCCGAAATTGGGTATTGATCATGCGACTATTCCATTTTCAGTGATGTTCGATACACATGTATGCCCTGGCTGAAACAGAAGGATTATCCGCACCAAGTTTCGTCGGTCTGTCTCTCTCGCACCCATCGTGACAGTCTCAGTGAGTGCGACAGTGACAACACCACTATGAGTCTGCAGCGCGGCGCCGCACTCCGTTCGGCGTGCCGATGCACTGTGGAGACACCTCCAGGAAGCGTCGCCGCGCCGCCCGCAGTCGGCGGGCTGCTTCCGAACAGTGCCCTCGGCGCGCTGTCTCTCTCGCACCCGTGGAGCGTGCCGCACTGTGCCGCAGGGGTGCGAGAGGGACAGAGGGGCGGGGTATCGGTGTCACGGCGGCCTCCCATGCCGCCCGGCCCACGAACGCGCGCCGTGCGCGACCCACGCATGCGACGCACGCGAGCAATGCCGAACAGTGCTTTCGCGTCGCTCTCTGTCGTCTCTCTCTCTCTCTCTCTCTCGTGAGGAGAAAGACGCGTTACAGACCAGTCCGCTACAAAGTGCCTTTTCAAGTGGTTTACGAGACAATTTTAACCCCAACTAGTGAAAAAGTGACAAAGCCTAGTGCATATCTCTCTCTCTCTCTCCCTCTCTCTCTCTCCCTCTCTCTCTCTCCCTCTCTCTTTCTCTCTCTCTCGGGGCGTTTCCTTGAGTGCGAGAGGGACACGGTGGCGAAACTGTGCGCGGAATCGCTCTGCCGGCCCGCCATAGCCGGAGCGACTCGTGCCGCGCGGGACGTGAGCTGGGCGGTGAAATGAGTCGCACTGGCACGCTGTGTGTGTGTGTGCGTGTGTGTGTGTGTGTGTGTGTGTGTACGCGGGTGTGTGTGTGTGTGTAGGTGTGAAAAGTAGGAGAGGGTCGTCCCGCCAACCACCACTTTGCTCTGTTCGTGTTTTCCTGGAGGCACGGCACACTTTGTCAAAGTGTGGAGAACTCTACACTTCACACTTGAAATAAACGGAGTACGGATTCGATTTGTGGGGTTCGCAGTCCCCACACTGGGTTCCTCGGTGTGGTCATAACTTTTTGGCCGCACAAGAATGCCGTACTGTCCACTGATAGGGCAGGCCCCCATCTCGGGCTCCGCTATGTCGGGGCCTGCTGTAGCGCCTGCGAGGTACGCTACAGATCCCTCGTGCAACACACCGGTGTATTGCAGGACCCGTGGTGGCCTACCTCGCAGGCGCTTGGCACCCCGCCGCCAGGGAGGCATTTGGTTCGTTTGCAGCATCCGTGTGCCCGCTCGCTGCAAACCTTTCGAAGTACTTTGGGCAAATGTAAGGTGCAAACTTTTAAGTTTGATCTACAAAGAAACAGTTCGTTACTTACGAAGTTATTTCTTTGTACTTTTCTTCGTACGGCTTTAGATAGTTTGTAAGGTGTTCCGCCCACAAGAACGAATTCATACACATAACATTCTTTGCAGGGTTTTTAGTTAGCATTTCAAGTGTGGAGCTCTCCACCCGCGGTTCCCGACACCACCGCGCCGTCACTGAAAACATAATGGATCGACACATGGCCAAATTATGGCGTGACAAAAAGTCACGCCAAAAATTGGCGTGGCACGAAATTCACGCCAAAAAACAGCATGACACGTGAGTCACGCCCTTATTTGGCCGGAACGACAACGCGTTTTATGAGACAAGTCACGCCAAAATGCGGCATGACAAGAAATTCACACCAAAAATTGGCGTGAATTTTTGAGTCACGCCGATTTTTGGCGTGACTTTTCTGTTATGGCGTTTAATGGCGTGACACTTAATTCACGCCCCTGCAGCGGCAAGAGGCCACGCCGATAGATTTTCAGCGCTTACAGTGTCGTCACCCCGCTAACTCCAACCCCTCTTTGTTGCAGAACCAGTTGCTGGAGGAGCGCGCCGCGCTGGGCCCGCAGTCCCAGGCGCTGGTGGGCGATCTCCAGGGCGACGACCAGGACGCGGACCAGCAGCCGCTGTCCGCGTCGCAGCACGCCAAGCGCGAGGAGCCCCGCCAGGACAAGGAGAGCGCCAAGGACAGCGACAAGGACGACGATGACCAGGAGAACTCCGTCGACCCGCCCATCCACCTCAAGCTGCCCCTGCAGCTGGACTTCGACGAGCTGGCCGGCGTGAGTACAAACACTCAGCACTCAAGTGCTCATCTGTGTGGTCTATAGAGCACTCCAAAGAATCTCTGGCCTATAAGAAGAAGAACAAAAACAGAAGTAAGAAATTGAAGTATCTATGAGAAAAATACGCTGCGCATGAGGGTCCGCAGCGCATATTTCTCATAGAAACTACAATTTCTTACTTCCGTTTTTGTTCGTCTTCTTCCGGGCCAGAGCTTCTTTGGAGTACTCTTTAGACACTTAGACCTCTCGAAGGAAACCACCCTCATTCGTCAGGGCGCAAGAAGACCATCCAATTTTGACGGGATGCTGGGAAACCAATCACTGGTTTTTTGACAAAGGGGCGTTAGTCCGCAAAAATTGGCAAAATACACTTTTTTCCATAGAAGTATTTGTAATGCAATAACAAGCATACTGGATTTTGAAAAATTAAAATATCTCAATCAGTTTAGAAGATACAGAAGTTTTCCAAAGGGTGTAAGTCCATACCATTTTTGACAAAGGGGCGTAAGTCGACCCGTTTTCTGGCAAACGGGCGTAAGTCCATTTGGTTTTTTGACAAGGAGACGTAAGTCCATGTGGTTTCTTGACAAAGGGGCGTAAGTGCATAGAGCATTCTGAAGATTTGAAGATTCTGACACCGCAGGACTGGAAATCTCTGCGTAGCAATGTTACGGAAAATTTCTATGGCACTTTACGTGGAATTTCTGCGCAACGTAACAATGTTAAGGTTAAATTTTGCAAAATTTGGACTAAGACTCACTGCGTTTCATTGTAACAGCAAAATTCTGTAACATATAGAGTTAAAATTAATCCGTATCAGTGTTACGGCTGAATTCTATTGCACTTGACGTGGAAATATCTGCGTACAGTAACACTGTTACGGTTAAATTTTGCAACATTTGGAGTGAATTTCATTGCGTTTCATTGGAACAGCAACATTCTGTAATATTTTTTTTAGTGAAAATTACTCCGTATCAACGTTATGCTAAAATTCTATGGCATTTGCCGTGGAAATTTCTGCGTACCGTATCAATGTTACGGTTAAATTTTGCAACATGTGGAGTAAAACTCACTGCGTTTTATTGCAACTGCAAAATTCTGTAATATTTTGAGTAAAAATTACTTCGTATCAATGTTCCGATAAATTTCTGTAAAATTTAGAGTACAATTATTGCGTAACAATGTAACGGCAAAATTTTGTATCATTCGGTCAAGAAATAACTCCGTAACAACGACGACTAATTTCTTTAGTATCTGAAGTAGAACTTACATAGAACTAGTGTTCCGCAAATGCTCTGGGGACCAAGTTGTGAATGTTTTATTAGACCATCTCAGTTTGTCGCAACGAGTAAAGAATACAAGTTTTCTAAAAGCTAGGAACTATAGTACGTACGTTACTAGTGGTTCCTGGCTTTTTGGCCGCTTGTGTTCTTCACTCGGCGACGGCTGGAAGGGTCTGTCTAAATGTTCTTCGGGCTTCTGGCACCTGATATTTCATTTTGTCTTCGGTGGTGCAGGCCCTGATGGAGCGCAACCAGCGTTCGCGCATGAACTGCGTGGTGGAGAAGCGTCGCGCCGAGGAGGTGGTGGACCACCAGCCCCGCACCGTCCGCCTGCCCTTCGGCCTCAACCTCACCACGGACCCGCGCTACGAGCACGTCTCCGGCGAGCGCATGGCCATCTTCTGCGAGAGCGGAAACGACCAACGGTGAGGAGGACAGAGAGACCGCGGGAGGAAAAACACCTCTCAAAACACAAGCAGAGATTGATGGTCACATCAAATCGCTGGATCGTGATCAAAGTCAACACTCCCATGCCAGGAACGTGACATCACGTCCATCACGTTGAAACGAACGTGACAAAATGTCACGCTCGTTTGAGCATTGTGTCACATTCGTTTGGATGTGAATCGACCAAAAATTAGCTTCTTCACATTGAAACGAATGTGACACAATGCTCAAACGAGCGTGGCATGATATGATGTCACGTTCCTGGAATGAGAGTGAAAATTGTTAACAAAGTACAAGAAACTATGTTGACATCGCAACAAATGCAGTCTGGTTAACCCTCAACGTGTTTGTATCTACCTTATTTAGTCGTGTTCAGGTTGATGTAATGCTAACTACTAAGTCAGTACCACGAAATTTTATTTTTCTTGCTTTGAGTGTAAAAGAAAGGTTGGCGATTGCTTGTACCCAGCACCGTTAAACTGTTTTTCGACGAAAGAAACGTCGCGTTCGTAAGAATGACAGCTGTGTCACACGTTTGCTGAACACGATGTCACATTCGTTGGGTCAGTGGTGGATCAATGTTGAAACGAATGTGGCATTGGACTCAAGTGAAAGAGTCATTATTAGTACCGAACGAATGTGCACTGTGAAAAACTTACAAAACTTGCGGTTTTAGTATTTTGAGCAGACATAAGCTTTCAAAGAAAACACGTCGGGATTTAGGTACGAACCATATTTCTTCGCATTACAAACTTCGTAGTTTGTATCTTACGCTTCAAACACGTCGTTAGGTTTTAAGCGTGTGCCGTCACACTCAAACGAGCATGCCACAGTTCATCTTCTGACGATCATGACGTCACACTCGTCGAAGAGAGTGCGCTTGCTGACCGACTCTTCATCTTCGCAGACACGTCCCCATGGAGCAGATGGCCGGCCCCATCGTGCAGCAGCAGCAGGGACCCATGCCGTTCTCGCAGCAGCAGCTGCAGCAGCAGATGCAGCGCCAGCACGAGCAGCAGATGCAGCAGCAGCACCAGCAGCAGATGCAGCAGCAACTGCAGCAGCAGATCCAGATGCACCTGCAGCAGCTGCACCAGCATCAGATGCAGCGCCAGCACGAGCAGCAGATGCAACAGCAGCAGCCGCCTCAGCACTTCCAGCAGCAGATGCCCATCCAGGTCCTGCCCATGAGCCACGCCGAGGCCCGAGGCTTCCAGCAGAACGTGAGTCCATTCTCCGCGCCAGAGGCCGTTCATTTATTACGTAACGTCCATCCATCCCCAATGGAGGGAATCTTACCCAACCTTAAGTGAGGGGTCGTCCTCAAAAAAATTCTATGGCCTACGAATAAGAGCCTTTATTGAGAGGTCCTGTTCAAAAGATCTTGTTTGGGCGTTCCCCCAAGAATCTTATGTTAAACGCAGGCTAAGATAAGATCTTTTGAATAGGACCCCTCGTTATATGGTCGATTTCAGATACAGAATGTTAGAGAATCCTACCTAAAATGCACACAACTCTAAGATTCATCATTTCGGACATCTTACAATGACAAGGGGTCTTGATGTTATTCACACCAACTTGGGCAGGAGTACCTCATATGCAGAATTACAATTCGCTTTCTTCCTTCCATAGTGCCCAATCGTAGGGAAATTTGCTTGCGTTTGATATAAAATTTTTAAGCCGGAAACGGGCATCAAGTTCACTTTTCCAGTACAATAAAATTTTCTACATGGGACTCTTTAACATAGGGATGTAAGATTTTTTCCGAACACCTTCGTGCGTTACGTAATTCCTGGACGCCCCCCTGGCCCAAGCCGGGCGTAGCCACTTCACACTTGCCGTAGCGTGGCCGCGGAGGCGAAAGTGAGCTGCTGGCCTTTGCATGGGCATGGTCTGCTTGCGTAGCCTTGCGTAGCCTAGCGTAGCGTAGGCGTAGCTTCACTGGTGCATCGCGCTCACCCTATGGCTGATTGGCAACGCGTTCATGCCGGGAACAAGGATACACTCTAAATGTACTGCGAAGAAACTTTTTCCGTTTTACGAAAGAAACGGTGCAAGCATAGTACGCACGTAGATTTTCTTCATGTTACGAAGGTATTTCTTTGTATTTTTCTGAAGACCTTTTCAGTCGTCGCCGTCGCCAAGTGAAAACATAAAAGCCAGAAACCATTAGCGCGCCACCTAGCTTCTGGTACTGTGAACCATCCAAAGCTGAACTCTGATTCCCTAGCAAGTCTCCTCAATGAAGTACAAAGCAGCGGCCGCTAGGTGGCGCGATGCTAGTTCCAGATTTTTCATTGCTCTTGTTCTTCAATCGGTGACGATAGAAAGGGTCCTTCGTCAGACGAAACATATTCGTTTCAGGAAGAAATATTGCGTCGTATTCTGCTTGCGCCGAATTCACCGCAACAAAGATCAAATTTTGTTGAAAAAGGGTGTTGTATTCGAAGCAAAAGTGTTCCCAACTCAGGGCTAAGTTGGGGAAGAAAAGTACAGGGTAAGAAAAGCGCAACCCTTATGGAGCTGATATCCCTTATGGAGCTGATATCGTGACTCGTAGCATCACTCGACCAGTTATTTCACTTGAAATTAATATTTTAGTGTAAAATCCTTTCTAAGGATACTGTAGTGGAACTAGCATGTTCTAGAAATATTTGTCAGAGGAAGTTCATTTCGTGGTCTAAATTCAACCACTATTAGTTGAATTTATTCCTACACTAGTGTAACAAAGGCATTCACCCTTTATTTTTCTTACTCAACCTACCCCTTCCCGTTTAGTGGCTGCGCAAAGCGCTGGCTGTAGTGACCCCTGCCTGCCTTGAAACTCGCTTTCCGCTTGTCGCAGACCCCACTCGTAGCCTTGCACGCCCCCCAGGCTGGGCCGCAGCCCCAGTCTCCGCTTCAGCCGCTTCAGCTTGTGCCCGTGCAGGCCGTGCAGGCCGGCCAGCAGCCCCGGCAGGGCAGGCTCTTCAGCCCCGCACCCGCTTCAGCCCCCCAGCCCCGCGGCCGTGGCTTCCAGGGACAAGTAAGTCGCATGTGGCGTGCATGCACCCGGAAGGAAGGTCTTTATTTTCGTGGTTGGTTGAAAAAAAAAAACATCCTTTACACTGAAAGCTGGTGGAATTTTTGTACATATTTACTAACATATTTGTGCGGGTGTGAGTGAATGCACAAATTTGTGCACTAGTTGGGTACAATCTCATAAATGCTGCAGCGAAATGTGGAAATGTGGAAAGTTTAGATCAAGAAATGTGATGTAGAAACCGATAAAAGTTTTTGTGTTTGCATGCAAGTTATAATATTTTTTTGTATGAATCGACTGGCCTCCACACGGAGTGCTTCTTTAAAAAAAACCGGGGGGGGGGGGGGGCTGCGTTACTTTGAGGCACATGGGAGGCACTGAAAAAATTCTTCACGAGGGAAAATGTACAGAAAATAGGGTACAGAAAAAGGACGCACGGCCCCTAGGGGTACAGGGACTTGATCCTGGTGATGCGGATGGTGCCGGTGTAGTTGGTCTCCAAGTGGATCGGCTGCCGACCCGCGACCCGGGGCACGGTGTCCACGAACTGGCGGTAACAGGACAGGGCGGTGTTGCCGTCCATCAACTGTGGGAGCCGAGCCACACACACCACTCAGGGAAACACTGGTTCACTGGAGATTCGCCGTGGTTCCGAACTTTATGAACATTTTAGCACTTAGGATGCACGATGCATGCCGAGCCATAGGGCGCCTGACGTGCGATGCGCCCCAAAACGCCCTATTCCAATGCATGGGGGAAAGTACAATCATTGAAAAAAAAAAGAACGAAAAAAAAATTGGAAACGTTAAAAATACCTGGATGTCGATGCGCCACTTTCCGTAGAGGAACTCCTTGAACTCGCCTGCCGAAGTGTCCACTGGGAAGTCAGTGAACTCCCAACGTGACTGTAAACCAATTATTCAGATCATTGTCGAGATGTATCGTAGTGGAGATACATAGCTAGCTACCCGTGATGGATTGAATTTGACCTTGTATTTGGTACACGTTTCGTGCAAGACTTTCAAGACGTTAGCTAACCTTAGCCGTACCGTCAACGGGGGTAACTTGGGACACTTTTTCACGTTTTTTGAACGCCAGAGGCAAGATTCTAAACCCAGACCATTGGATCCTAACTATGTTAAAGTTTGACCCTTTCCCCATGATTTCATGCTTGTCCGGTTCATTTGCCTCGATTACATCGTTTCCAAGCGGTGTCGAAAGAGTGTCCCAAGTTACCCCATGATCGGGGGTAACTTGGGACAGTAGGTAATTAGCTACGTTCCCATGCATCTATTGATGTTAATGGATGTAATAAATTTAAACCACAACATGTAGACCTAGAATTCAGGCCTAGGAACTCTTTTAGGACCGATATTTGACTATATCTATGGCTCTACGTGGAACTCTCTTTTCTACTGGTATTTTCTAGGCATTTTCTGAAAATTTCGAATTATGCATTACCAGAAGACAAATCTGCAGAGCAAGGCATCTCTTTCCATTACCAGCGTAAAATCCGAAGTTTATGTTATGTCAGGAACCGGGTCAGTCAACTCCTTGGAGGCTAGGACTGCTGGAAATATGAGGAAAAGACTGTCCCAAGTTACCCCGTAAAATCTCGATTATTGATAAAATGCAGTCTGGACCGAAGATGGGAGAACTATAATCAACGGCCTTTTGCGAACGTTATTGTCTGTGTATGATCTAACAGCCCAGAGAGACTAACCAGCCAAATTTGCATTTCACTCCTTGCACTAGGGTCAACTTGTCAATGTTTGACATATTTTGTCGAAAACCCTATTATGTAGTTTCCCGTTTCTCAAATACTAATTGTGATGTTGTGCACCTTTTCTACCTTTCCGCGCGTGCCCTGAGGCCTCTGAAACAAAACCCTGCTGCGGGTTTGACGCAAGGAACCCCCGTCGCTGAATGGCAGCACCAACAAGCTGTACAGAGCAGACTGTCCCAAGTTACCCCCGGTGTCCCAAGTTACCCCCGTTGACGGTAACCATTTGGGTACGATATTTTGTACAAGTTTGCGACGTTTCTGATTATTTTGCTTTTTTTCGGTTTGTTTCATGTCTATAAGGGGTACATTATTTTGTGACCTAGTTTGTTGAATTTCTTCTATTTCTCAGGCTATTTTATTAATTATTTGGCTTAATGTGGCCGTCCAAACTTATTGTTGAGCGTGGTCTCCGCACTCACCGCGGGAAAGGGACACTTCAGTCGGTGTTCGCCGCCCAGGGCGTCGCTGAGGAGGCGCCTGTACGCGAGGTTGTGGGCGAGGCGGGCCCTGGCCAGCTCGCACAAGCGCGGGAAGGTGTGCCGGTACGCGTTGTCCTTCCAGCCGCCGCGAGCGCTCCAACTGCTCAGCTTGACGGTTCCCTGCGAAGCGGAGCGAGCGGAGCACTGTCTAACCGACACTATCTCGGCGCACGTTCACTGTGAAAATTTGTTGTCACTTTATGACAAAAACGTTGATGACATTGTCATCAACCACATTCACACATTCAAACGAATGTGACACCCTACTTAAACGGCCGAGTCACGTTCAAACGAATGTGACATCATATTCAAACGAACGTGACAAAATTCACACTCCATTCGTTGGCCACCAGTGTCACCAATATGGCGTCACATTCGTCGATTAACATTGTGGTGTCGCCGTACCGCGAGCGTAGACAGAACGTTGAAAGGCTGATTTATTACGCCAGTGTAGTAGAAGCGTTTGGGGTACTTCCGGTCGCGAGTCAGGCGCTGAGTGAAGTTGACGAGGTTGAGGCCGCTCAGCTCGCTAGGGCAGGTCTCCACTCGCTGCAACTCCACTTCGAAAGGTCCCTGGGGAACACACAAAAAACTTCTTATGTGAAATTTGTGCAAAACTTTTGTGATAAACCAAATGCCTTCTTGGTTACCAGTAGTGGACTTGGCCGGCAAGCGCCTGTGAGGTAGGCCACCACAGCCCTGCAACACACCGGTGTGTTGCACGAGGGACATGTGGCCTACCTCGCAGGCGCTAGAGGCCTCCACCAAGCGGAGCGCCAGGTTAGTGTAGCATTCTTGTGCGGCCATAACGTTGAAGCAACACCGAAAAACAGATGTGGAAACTCAGAGGTATGGAACATTCAGTCCCCTCACTTGGATTAAGTTCAGAGTTTACAGTCTTCTCTCACTTGAAGTGTGCAGTTCTCCCCGTTTGAAACATGCCAAGAGATAGGGGCGGGGCTATGTTAGTTCATCCGCACTTGAAGTGTGCAGAATACAAACTCCACACTTCCAAGTGCTTAGAATTATTACTCCGCACTCTCAGCACGTAACTAACATTTTTCTCATTAATTACGTAGTCGTATTTCGTATTCGCATTTTCTTAGTAAGTTTGACTAATTTCCTTTGAAAAATTTTGTACTAAGCTAAATTGTCAGTACATCACTGAAAAGTCAAAGGTCAGAATTCATTCCAACCTAGGGGAAAGAAAAAAAAGTCTCGCCAATTTTTGGCGAGAAACAAATGTCTCGCCAAAATATGGCAACCACTCTATTTGATACTGGGAAATATATCCCAGTCAAGATCACTCCGGTAAACACATCACTAACTACAGTCTTTCAATTACTCAAGTTGAAAATAATACAGGAAGCTATCACTTTCAGTTATGAAAATATTAATGTAAGGTTATATTATGTGAATTTGGTTTGCGTGAGCAAAGCGTTGCCCAACTATTTACTTTTTTTTGTCATCGTTTAAAAAGACATTGGTCCAGTGAGTCAGATCCTAAAAGGTCTCTTTCAGTGTCCATGTAGTTAAAGATAATGTCTTTAATAAGAGGCCTAAACAAAGCGACATCCATGATGACACAAGTTCTTACTCACTCCTTTGACTTATTCCAATCCCCAGCTTAACCTTGCTGCACTTAGGCATTGTTGGAGGTTCCATGGACGGAACTCGGTTAATAAACTCGAGTTAAGAAAGTTCTGTGCACTATCTAGCACTCTCCGTTTCGCCGTCTCCACTGGACAAAATGCCAAAGTACAGCAGCAGATATAATAAAGAAAACATTATAGTGCACAGACAAGCAACACAGCAACAGGACTGCCATGTTGTGTCGTCTGCTACAGTAGCATTTGTTTTGCGGTAGTGCCAACCTATACATTTTTTTCGTTACTTGTAAAATTACTTTTGGAAGGCAGTGCAGGTTGGCAACCGCAAAACAAATGCTACTGTAGCAGACGACACAACGAGGACAACAAATGAATTTCAACATGGCAGTCCTGTTGCTGTGTTGCTTGTCTGTGCACTAAAATGTTTTCTTTATTATATCTGTGTTGGCGATTTAAAGTGCTGCTGCTGTACTTTGGCATTTTGTCCAGTGGAGACGGCGAAACGGAGAGTGCTAGATAGTGCACAGAACTTTCTTAACTCGAGTTTATTAACCGAGTTCTGTCCATGGAACCTCCAACAATGCCCAAGTGCAGCAAGGTTAAGCTGGGGATTGGGATAAGTCAAAGGAGAGAGTAAGAACTTGTGTCATCATGGATGTCGCTTTGTTTAGGCCTCTTATTAAAGACATTATCTCTAACTACATGGACACTGAAAGAGACCTCCCACTGGACCTATGTCTTTTTAAACGACGACAAAAAAAGTAAATAGTTGGGCAACGCTTTGCTGAAGCAAACCAAATTCACATCATATAACCTAACATTAATATTTTCATATCTGAAAGTGATAGCTTCCTGTATTATTTTCAACTTGAGTAATTGAAAGACTGTAGTTAGTGATGTGTTTACCAGAGTGATCTTGATTGGGATATATTTCCCAGTGTCAAATAGAGTGGGGTTGCAATTATTGCCATATTTTGGCGAGACATTTGTTTCTCGCCAAAAAATGGCGAGACTTTGGTTTCTCGCCAAAAAAATGGCGAGACTTTTGTTTCTCGCCAAAAAATGGCGAGACTTTTTTGTCTCACCAAATTTTGGCCATCAGTCTTGCCATTCAATTTTCAGTGATTATTTAATATTTCGTTAGTCATTTAGAAAAGGATAAGTACGTATTATGGTTGCAAAAATTACTTGCATAAATACTGACAAAATGATCAAAAAGTCAGTAAGGTGCTTGGAGTGCGCGCCAGGAAGAGCAGCGGAGTTCTCCGCACCTGATTTGACAGTGTGTCGCCACGTGCAAAATTGTACGTATGCCTGTGCCGTTTACGCAGTAGTTTAGCGGGTTCGGCTACCATTGTCGTATTGAGTACCGTCACGCGCGTAGAAAAACACCACTGACCGCAAAGCTGTTGAAGGACTGCCCCGCGACGGCGGAGAGCATCAGGCCGGCGGCTAGGAGCAGCATCGTTGTGGCGCTGTGGCTGTGTGGGGAGTTTGGCGGCGGTTAATTGGACAAAGTCCTCGCCTCGGCGCAAACGCAACGGCGGCGCAAGGTGACCGATTGAACGTGACAGAGAGAAACAAGGGAATCCCATTGAGTGTTTTGTCGGCGAGGCGGTGACCGCTGACGCCACGGAATCGAGCGGATGACAATGAATACAGCGTGCGCAAGCGTTCGTGCACTGTAAAACAGCTCGCAGCGCAGTACCAGCCAATACCCACGAAAGAAAGGACCATTTTTTTAGCACCCCGGTGATTTAGGAATACTTGGCCAAATCGATGGGCGAATTACCCACTGTCTTGACGTACACATGATAACAAGAGTTCAGGCGAGCACGCCTGATGATACTCATTATTTGGGCGTATTGTTAACGTTGTAACGCCTTTTTAGCGTACAAAATGAAACACAATACCGAATCCTGTACAACTTTGCTTATTTTCGCCCTATCAAAATTTGTGAGTACACTAGGTCAGGGCTAATGTGTCCACATGACTATACCCTAGTGATTCACCCCACCGGCCAAGTACTTATCAGTGCATCTTGGCCAAAAACGGTACTCCCTCACCAGCGCATGCGCATGCTTGACAAGTTCAATTATACGTGAATATGCGTAGCATGGGGTTTCGGGACCAATCGGGCATTTGTCATTGCGTCTTCGGCAGGTATGCATTTGCAAGAGCATGCTTGGCCAAGACTATTCATTTGTTATGGTTTTTAGTGCTTGGACAGTTGGGTTTGTAGTGTATCTGCACACTAAATGTTTTTGTACAAATTTTGTACGAGACATCCCAGTTTTTTGTACACACGAACTTTTCGTACAAATTTGTACAAAATTATGTACAATTTTGTACAAAAATGGTAAAAAATGTGCAGTTTTTTCGTACGGACATTGTACCAAAATTTCCTGTGCACAAAAAACTGTGATGTCTTATACAAAATTGTGCGTAACATTAAGTGTGTGAGATGTGGTCTGCAGTTAGGGGAAATCACCGTGAATTTCAGTGTACAAATCCAATGAATTTCAGTTGAGTTTCGATGAATTTAAGGCAAAACTACTGAATTTTGAGAAGAATTTCAATGAATTTTAAGAAATTTTGATGTATGTCAGTGAGATTTAGTAAAACTCACGTTTGATGAATTTTGTTGTACAAATTTGGCGGGACACTGAGAATCCAAACGCTATGAGTGTAGCTTCAATTGGTGCGATGCAAAAGCATTGCACATGAAGTGCAATGCCTCCCCATCCCCATGCTTTAGCATAGAGCATTTTCGGGACGCATCGCACGTAAGGTGCGATATGGCTATCCGAGTGGCTATCGCATTGCACGTATGGTGCGATATCTCAGCTGCACTGCACCATACGTGCTATACTCATAGCGTTTGAAATCTCACAGTGGAGTTATTTCCCTCTTGGTGTGCAGTGCTTTGACCCTATGCCGTCTGGTTGCAGGGCATTCCCCTGGAGTTCCGCGGCGTGCCGATGCAGGCCGCCCTCACGGTGGAGGTGGAGGGCCGCGACGGCCCCGTCGAGGTGGAGGGACGCTCGCTGACGCCGCAGCAGCTGCACCAGCTCGAGCAGCTCCACCAGCTGCAGCAGCTGCAGCCCCAGGACGGCGTGCTGCCCATCGAGGTCATCGAGGCGCGCGCCTTCCAGCACCCCCAGGTAGGACTCAAAGCGCGTTTTTCTCTCTTTCTTCCTTTCTTTCTTTTTTTGGAGGGGGGGGGTGAGGGATAATTCCTCCCACCCCGACCCCATAGCCGCCCGAAAGGTACACACTAAATGTCATGGGACTTTTTTTTTCCGAAATTGGGAATTAAGCACCCCCCCTTTCACTTTGTCCCCCGGCAAAACTTTCCCGGAAAACCGTCCCGCCCCACACAAATTGTATCACCACGGGTTGGGAAAATTTTACTCAGGAACACACAAAAGTTTTAGTGTGTGGAAAAGGAAAATTTTCCAAATTTTTAAAATTTGAAATTTCCGCACTGCTCAAATAATTATTGCCGCTTTGTTACCAAAAAGCTTACAGGGGTTTTTTTAATTTACCAATTTTTTTGAAGTAACTGGGTTTGAACAATTTCGGGGTTTGAGACAATTTTTTGGAAATTACCCCTTTTTGGACAAGAAGGGAACTGGAAAAAAACCTTTTTTCGGGAATTTTTGAATTTGAAGGGATTTTGGGGAGAAAAAGGAAAAAACCCTTCAATTACCCAAACCTTTGAGGGATTTGAAAATTTGCCGCGAAATTCCTTTACCTTAGTGCCCTTAATTTGGAAAACGGAAAATTTTTGGTTTGGTTTTTTCCCTCCCCTATCAAAAAATATTTTCAGGAACCAAATTTTAAAAATTCCTAACTATACACTTACCCACGGGGAAAACTTGGGGTTTTCTTCGGTGGGCAAACCGAAAAAGGGGCCAAACCCAAAAAAATTTTGGACTTTTTGGTGTACATTTTTTGATGGAATAACGGTTTTAATTTAACGTTTAATTAACGGTTTTTAAAATTTTACGCGAAATTAACTTTGGGAAAAATGGTTTTTCCTTTGAAATGATCGGTATACAATTTTTGACGACCTTGTTTTTCCTGTTGGTGGTGACAAAATGTCGTAAGTGGACTTGCGACATTAAATTTCTCAAATGTCGTAAGTTGACTTGCAGCACTTTTGTCCCAAAATAGTTCCACTTTTTGGACTTACGACAAAATTATCCTGGCTGCAACTCTGTAACCGAAGGTGGAACGTAACTCCTAACATTTCAGGAACAAATCGCTCAGAAAATTATTTTTGTTGTAATTCAACTTACGACAGCTTAACAAATTACCACAGTATTACGAAAAGGGAGATATGGTGACCAGTACTTGGTCCAGTCTCATCTGTGCAGAGTAGCTTATGTGCTGCGAATGAAGCTTTTAAGCCCTACACTGTCAGAATAAAAGTCCGTAAATTTACGGAGAAAGTTACTCTAATTTTGGGAACGGAGGCTCCGTAAATTTTCCATATTTTTACGGAGATTTTCCATATTTTTACGGAGATTTTCCGTATTTTTACGGAGATGAACCGCATTTTTGCAGAAATAAACGCATTTTAACGGTTCCTCCTTCCATCTTCGATGTTAATGCAAACAGTGTCCTCTTAGGCGAAAGTGATATTCTCCAAAACTGTTTGAAGATCCACTTGACCACATGCCATTAGGATTGGATAAATGGACGGAAACCCAAAGGCGAGGTCGCTTTAGAGAAGGCGTACTCTTGGAACACCTTATCAGTTGGTCACCCAACCCATCGATAACGTGAATTAGTGTGTTCTTTTTGATAAGCAAGGCTTCTATTTCATTTATATACCTAACTTCCATATTTTTACGGAGAAAATCCATAATTCCAAAAAAACGGAGATCTCCGTTAAAAAAAAATGGACAGTCTCCGTTCAATTTCCGTATTTTTACGGAGTTTTCTGACAGTGTATGCTGATTCCCACTAAAACTAGTATTGTTTTCAAACAAATCAGGAAACAACATTTCAAAATTGGCGTTGGTGCCTCATTGTATCGAACATTATATCCTCCCTCAACACCAAATACCGTTTGTGCATTGGATAAATTTGAAATTTCAGATATTGATACTTTCGAAATGAAAATAACGCGCAGCCCTATTCCCAGGACATGCAGCCCCGTGAGATGCAGCCCCAGGACATGCAGCCCCAGCAGGGCCCCGGCGCCCCCATGCCCGCCGACTCGCTGCGCCCGCCCTACCAGCGCGCCCCCATGGCGCCAATCCACGCCGTGCCGCCGCAGGAGGAGGAACCGCGCCCTCACTGTAAGTTGATGCAGGTTGGCTTGAAATAAGCTTGGACGATGGATCGCTGCTTGCGGGTCCTGTACCCATGAGAGAAAGAGGGGTCCAGTCCACCTGTAGCGCCTGTGCAGGCGAGCATGTGTCGGGCCCGAAATGGCATACCATCATGTGTGGTCTAGCCCTTAATGGTAATGGTGATTGTGAGGTAGGCCACAGGTCCGTCCTGCAGCACGCCGCTGTTTCGCAGGCCTCTTGGTGGCCTACCTCGCAGGCGCTTTGTGTCCTATTCCACCGGTAGTCAACGAGGCTTAGGCTCGTTTGCAGCATTCTTGTGGTCCCATTTCAAGTAGGGAGAAGTCTACACTTTCAATGCGGAGTAGTGGACTTTTCAGTCTCCGCCTCCGCACTTGCAAGTGAAGAGTTCACTTCAAAACCACTTTGCACCCTACCAGGAGATAGGATCTCTAGCGTGAAGTGTGGCGACTGTAAACTCTACACGTCCAAGTGTGGTATTCCCCACTCCCCCACTCAACAGTGCTGAAGCGCCTGCGGACACTGGCAGCTAACGAATGTGACGTCATATTCGTTGGAGTGTAAATATTGTCACGTTCGTTCGAATATGATGTCACATTCGTTTGAACGTGACTCGGCCGTTAAAGTAGGGTGTCACATTCGTTCGAACGTGATCAACTTTCAAACGAATGTGCCATCATCAAACGAACGTGACAAAATTCACATTCGAACGAATATGACGTCACATTCGTTGGCTACCCGCACGGGTCCTGCAACACACCGGTGTGTTGGAGGACTGGTAGTGGCCTACCCCGCAGGCGCTTGGCGTCCAACTCTACTCGACAGTGTTGCTCTGCACTGTGAAACCAAACGAGAAGAACTCCACATTCGAAGTGCGGAGGAGTGGAATTTTCAGTCTCCACACTTGGAAGTGCAGAGTTTGCAGCGTCTCCACACTTGAAATTTCGAGTTGTCCACTTTTGCACCATGCCAAAGAGATAGGGGCTCCGTGAGCTAGTCCACGCTTGAAGTGTGGAGATTGCAAACTCCTCACTTCCAAGTGTGGAGTTGTCCACGTTTGGTTTCACAGTGTGTTCTCCGTCCTCTAACTCCCACTTTGTTTCGCAGACGTGCAGCCCCGGTCCGTGCGCAGCCCCCGCAGCGTGGACGCCCTGCTCCACCGCGAGAAGCGCGTCCGCCGCTGCGCCTGCGACTGCAACTGCTAGGTTGCTTGGCAACCGAGTGATCCGGTTGCCAGGCAACTACGGTCCCCAGGCAACCCGTGATAGCGCGCTGGCCGCTCAGAGCGCGGTCCAGCCAAGAGCGCATAGTAGAGGCCCGGTCTGCGCGCGAGTCGACCGACCGCCAAACGACGCCTTACCCACCTGACGGACATGCCAGCAAACAAATGACACTCCGGAACGACACACTGTAATTCGACGAATGTGACGGCCTTTTCGAAATAGCATGTGAATTGTATCACGTTCGTTGGAATGCTGAACCTCGTTCAAACGAATGTTACATCGTATTTAAATGAACGGGACAAAATCCACATCCGAACGAGCTTGACGTGACGTTCGTGCAGAAACAGTGTGGTTTTTTGTAGTGACCGCTTAGTTTTGCGGCTATGGCCGCACGTGCAGCTGTTCGAAACCATGAATTCAATGCAGTTACCACCGTCCTGTTGCTGCCAAATGACGTTTGAGTCGTGCTGGTAGCGGTGAAGTGTTTGGCCAAATCTTGTGATGAGATCAGTGATAACTTGAGATAAAAGTCAGTCAATAAAGAGTCTGGAAAAAGAAAGTGATCTTGTTCAAATTTGATAGAATGTTCACACTGTCTTTTGTGCGTCTCGGTATCCAAACATGCTTTTCTCCTGTTCGCAGAATGTTTTTATTTGTTTTTGAGTTTTATATGTCTTCTTTTTTTACATCTGAGTCTGTTGAACATAATGTACATATTGTAAAGATAGTGTGTGAGGGTAAAAGAAAACATTGGATCCGAACTGCACAGTAGTTTTATTGTGGACAATAAATAATTTTTTCTACGCGTTTTGTTTTGTTTTATGCCACTTACCACTGAATAGAATACAACTTGATAGCTCTTTGCTCTGACATGAGCTCTATATACGCACACTCCTCTCCGGTGTGTGCTGGCAGGCACGCTATTAACCTCTCTGAGGTTTGTTTTGTCAAAGACCATGGACAATCATACATAGACAATGCTTTGAAGATCCCTTCTCAAATAGAGGATCACCAGTCAATCAAAGATTCGGGTTGAATTGAGTTTTTGAACCCAAACAAGTGTAGGCGTTAACTGATTTACAAGGACATGCTAAAACCACTGCTATTTGTTCCATTTCAATACCGTTCAGTGCACTTATTGGCAAGCCTCACCCCATATACTGAGAATTCTCGCCACTCCAGAGGCGCGACATGATAGTCTCGCCAATTTTTGGTCAGATCTTAAAGTCTCGCCAAAATTTTGTCAGACAAAAAAGGCTTGCCACAAAACGGTCAGACACAAAAGTCTCGCCACAAAATGGCGAGACTTTTGTTTCTGACCACGGCCTTAAGGCCGTAACCGTCCGGCGCATTACGGCCTTTAGGTGGCGGTCAGACACAAAAGTCTCGCCATAGGTGAGACTTATCTGCACTGGTAAAACTAAAGCGTAACTCTATGCTTGAGTCAAGAATAAAGTCTTCAGGGGTCGCCGTCGGACCACCGGTGCGCCCAGGATGCCGACGAACGTGAGGCACGCCGGAGCGCCGTGGCGTGCCGGGTGCCTGAACGATCGTCGCCGCCGCCGCGGCCCGGGTAGCCCGGGAGCACCCCAACGCAGAGCTCAAGTCAAAAGTCCCGGACACCCAAGTGGAACGCAGCCAGAGGCCGAAGCGGCCGTTTGAGCACACTAACGGCCGACTGAGCACGTGGCGGCGGCGACGGACACGTCGGCGGCGTCGGTGCCAACGGCGTCGGCCTGCGTCGTCCAAGCTCGCGGTTGCGACAGAGGACCCGGCGGCAGCGGCCGCGGCGGCGGCGACGATCGTTCAGGCACCCGGCACGCCACTGCGCTCCGGCGTGCCTCACGTTCGTCGGCATCCTGGGCGCACCGGTGGTCCGACGGCAACCCTTGACGGGTTCCTGGTAGTCTAGCACTACCTTAACACGATGCTGAAGTCAAAAGTCCCGGACACCCAACTGGAACGCAGCCAGAGGCCAATGATGATTTTGGCCTCCAACTAAAAAGTTGCTTTGACGGACTCCTTGTGGCACGTCCTCGTATCTCCGGAAGAGCGTCGGCGACCTCGGCGTTGGACTCCCCGTGTCCTGGGGACCTAGAGGACACCATCGGGGACCACCTGGGTGGTGGCGACAACGGTGTTGAACCGTGTGGCGGCACAGCACCCACGTTCGTCGGCATCCTGGGCGCACCGGAGGTCCGACGACGACCGCTGACGGGTTCCTGGTAGTCTACCACTACCTTAACACGATGCTGAAGTCAAAAGTCCCGGACACCCAAGTGGAACGCAGCCAGAGGCCGATGATGATTTTGGCCTCCAACTAAATAGTTGCTTTGACGGACTCCTTGTGGTACGTCCTCGTATCTCTGGAACCGCTTGTCCTAGAGCGTCGGCGACCTCGGCGTTGGACTCCCCGTGTCCTGGGGACCTCGAGGACAGCCTCGGGGACCCTTAGGTCGCAAATCCGTGGGCCTCGGCGTCAAGGCCTTTGTTTCCAGTTTATCCTTAACGAGACGGCCAGTAGAGGGCAAACAGTAGACCAATGACAATCATTGCGCGAAAACCTGAAAATGTGCCAATTTTTGCGTTCCCCCAGGGCTCGCACGTATGAGATATTGTCAAACAAATAATTGTCCCCTATAGCCCAGACCTTCCTTGAAACTATCTGATAGTTTGTAGGACTCCACCGCTCGATTTCAAAATATCCACTTCTCATCGCGTTTTGGGCAGGGATGATACCCAAACCGAAACGATACCAGGGCTGTTACGACAACAGTTTGCACTTATGACTATAATTCAAAAAGTGTAGCACCGGAACCAAGGGAACAGTTTTTCCTTGTTGATCAAGGCGTACCGGAGTTTTGTTTCTTTATGGACCAAGTCCAAATTCCGCTCCCCTGAGTTTTGTTCTTTTTGGGGCCTAAATCAACAAAACTCAGGGAAGCGGAATTTCGACTTGGGCCATATGGGAACAAAACTCCGGTACGCCTTGATCAACAAGGAAAACCTCTTACCTTGGTTCCAGGTGCAACACTTTTCGAGTTTTAGTCATATGTGCAAACTGGTGTCGTAACGGCCCTGGTATTGTTTCGGTTTGGGTATCATCCCTGGTTTTGGGCGTTTTAGCCCACTGTGCGTTCCCCCCAAGACAATCTTATCTTAAACGCCGGCAAATTTCACTCATTTTGAACAATCAGAATAAATACGACGGTAAGCGAAACATATTTCTACATGCACTTTTGGTTTCTTTGATCTTCCATCTTTAGATTAACTTGAACAAACTCACAAATTATATTGATATGTAGCTGTACCAAATGATCAAACTATGTGAAATTCGCGTGCGTTTAAGATAAGATTGTCTTGGGGGGAACGCCCAGATAAGATCTTTTGAATAGGACCCCTTGAAATGGGACACTTGGTTAATGGTAAATTGTGGCCTTTGGGGAGAAAGTTTTCAAAGTTGTTCGAATTGACATCTCTGAACGGAAATAGATAGGCCTCGACAATACAAACAAAAAATGTCAACACATGCTATGGGTTTGGACGGATATTTAAAAAGTTAATGGGCTTTGAAATTAACAAATAGTCGCAAAAGGTCAAGTTCTTTGGAAGCGCAATGCCTCTTCACTTTTCATCCGAACCGGTGGCATGTGATGACATTTATTGTTCCTCGTGTTGAGACGGATCGAATTTTATAAAGTGGTTTCTATTTGGAAAACTTTGAGGCCTGTTTTACCTAAGCCCTTGTCCCATTTTTACCCCAGCGTGTCCCATTCTTACCCCAAACTTACAAGTCCGAATTTTCACAGTTTATTTTACACAACTGCAAAATTAAATGACTTTTTGATCTTAGTTTAAAGCCAAATGGTGTGGAACAGAGTACCCTATCCTTTAAGGGGGCACACCAGTGAAAATGCAGAGGTTTCGAAAAACGATCATTCTGAGAAAAGTGACCGATGTATTCGATTGATATTTTATTCTTGGCTCAAAATTATGTCAAAGAAAAGGAAAATCAGTATGGGAGAGCGAGGTGGCGATGGCAAGATGAAGCGCCAGTGCACTTCATTTTTCATCGACCTTGCTTCACTCCTGCCACGATTCCGCCTCTCTGGATTGAGCTTCGCGCACGGGATTTGAAAATTTCTCAACAGGACACATGTGGCTATGGTCTGAACCACGGGCATGCAAAAAGAATGATTGTGAATTTGTTTTTTCAAAAGGCAAAAATAGAAACAAATTTTTTAACCAATTTTTTCGCGCTTTCATGGCTGCAGCTCACGTCATATTTATGGGATGGCCATTTCCGAGGTTCAGACCATAGACGCAAGTGTAACAAACATTTTGCCGCAAACCGCGTTAAATTATCTTGATTTTTGCGCCCGTGAGAGTGGCACAAAGGTACAAAAAAGGTGTTTTGAGAAAAAGCCTTTTAAGTGGAAACATAGATTTGACGTGTTTTTTTCGGATTATAAATGCGTCTTTTGACGTATTTTAGTTCAGTTTGCGCCAAAATGTTCCTCTTTTCAACTGCGTTTGGGTGGTTCAAGGGTTTTGTAATTGAAGTTCAAGCGAAAAACCTGAACGTTTACAATTGGTCAAAAATATGCAAAAATAATTACCTTTTTAGCAACTTCTAAAATGTGCACAAGCCAAAGTATTCATAATTTCTGGTTGGGGTTTGCGGCATTTGACTCGGGATGAATAGCAGAAAAATAAGATAAAATAAAAGAGAAGGCAAAAATTTGACGATTTTCACTGGTGTGCCCCCTTAAAAGCATTAGAAACACTCCAACTCGCCGTTGTAGAGTTGTGGAAACCTTATTGTTCAAACTGTCCCATTATTACGCCAACTGATCCTACCTTAACCAGAGGTGGTTCTCTCAGGATCAGAGGCCAAGACAAGACCCTTAGCTGAGGTGACCGGCCCTTATAAAACACGACAAAGTTTACGTAAGCAGCTAAGAGCTATGCATCATTGTGTATCTTCTTGCATAAAATGTGCACAGTGATGCATGATATTATACATAGCTTACGTAGGTATCTGTGCATGCATAATCATACACAGAACGTCCACAACAGTTAGTTGTGAAAGGACTGGGGTGGCAAACAAAGGCATCCACCACGGCCACATACAACCAAGGAGAAATCTATGTGAATTTCGGTGTACAAATCCAATGAATTTCAGTCAAATTTCGATGCATTTCAGTCGAAATTTGATGAATTTCAGTCAAATTTCAATAAATTTCAATCGAATTTCGATGAATTTTACAAGTTTGTTGAATTTCGGAGTACAAATTTGGCTGCAGCTATTTCGCGCCTTGCATTCAACAACAGAATCAAACACACTTTTGCCAGCAGAATGATCTCGAATAGATGAGGTAGCTGCCCCGTGCCGATTGGTGCAGAAGGCGAAAAGTTGTGCGTGCTCCTCTTCCACGAAGGAACCCTTTAAACTATGCCACTATCAATGTAACCATTGAAAGTCAAATGCAACAACTGTCACAAAGATGGTAGAATAGTTTTTTGGGTTTATTTCATATAGTTTCATGTAGATGTGATTACAGAGACATTTAATTTCCTTAACATCGATAAAATAAACAGATAAAACACTGATAGACATTAATCAGAACAGACATGTAGAAATATAAATTTGACCCGGACACAGCGTGGTTCAAAGTGCTCCAAATGCAGTCTCCCCAACAAGTCTTATTTTAATTTGGTTAAAACACCACGATAATACACATACAAAAGACCAATAGACATCAATCAGAACAGACAAGCAGAAATATAAATTAGACCAGATCACATTGTTCCAAATGCATTGTCCCCGACAAGTCCAATTACATCGAATACACCAACTGCCATTGGGATAGAATGGTGTTTTGGTTCTTAGACATTAAATTTCTTTGACTTCAGATCAAACGCGAAAAACATCAATCAGATCACTCAGTGAGGAAATTGACAACATTTCTTTAACAGTGTGCTGCTGACAGTCTACACTGTCAAAGTAAACCTTCGGTATAAAGAAGTTACCTCTGGTGAAAATGTTGCCGACGACACCTTCGTAAATTTACCAAGATTTACGAGGATGTTAGGTCACTTACAGAGATTCTATCCTTAACCTACAAACATTCAACGTAGATTCAGGAAGGCTCTTCGAAAACTCACCAAAATTTTGCCAAGACTGTTTTTAGTGGCACCTTTGCTGTTTCTCAATTTATTTCTTACAGTCTAGCTGCTAACAAACTGTGACTTCGGAGGGATTTTGTCCAAACTGCCGACAAACAAAGAATGTTACCCATCCTGTGCGTCTCAGTGTTGACACTGCTTTCACTCCTCTTCCGCAATCGTGACTCACGGTCCTATGGCACACCGGGCAGATTTTACACATAACTATTAAATGCAAGTACCGTAACGTCGGCGTGCACGCTGAGGCAACGGACTGCTCAATTTCATCTAGAACTGGATTGTCCAAGGTCAAACGAGCGTAAACGCTCTCGAGGGCAGGCAGACTCGGAAAGACAGGGGCGTAGTCCCAGTGCATGTCTAGGTGAGTCAGTTTCTGGCACCTTTCCAGTGCCGTGATCAGGTCTGGTCTGGCTATCAAGCCCGGACGAAATTTAGCGCTGACAAGGCCATCAACCAATAGGTCTTTGAACAGGTCATACTGCTTCGAACAGGTCCCCTTCTCGACAACCTCCAGCTCAACCAGATTGGGGAAAAGTTGCTGCAGTTGACCCTTTTCGTACACGAAGTCATGTTCCACGTAAACCGATAACTGCTCGAGACAGTGCAATTGGGAGAGCACATACACAGAGCTATGACCCAAGTCAGTTTTTGTTGTATTGTCTAGCACTAAGGTAAGTCGTTTCAGGTGGTGTCGGCTACGCCACACCGATTCTAGGTACCCCCGGCGGAGGGATCTTGGTACATCGTCTTTGATTATTAAGAGATTTTGGGACGCAAGCAGTTGACCTAAGTCACGGACAACGCGCTGGTCGGGGATGACTAGTCGTTCAGTGGGCCAGAGGAAACAGGTGACATAATAGTGATCAACGACTGGATGAAGTTCGGGCGGTATGTTCTTGAGACCCTCTACGATACAAGTAATGGTGAACCAGGTATAGGCTTTCGGAGCCATTTCTGACCACCGCGTGCACACGGCGGGTAGCACTTTTTGGATAGTTAATCCATCGGCGATTTGGTAGAAGATGTGACGTAGAACTTCGTTCGGCAGGTTGTCAATGCCCGGACGGCTGAGAACAAAGGGTGGAGAAAATCATCATGATCTCATGGGCACTAAAAATGTACGTGTTTACTAGGGAGGTGCGAATAGTTCGGTATCGAATCGAATCAAATCACCCCTGATTCGATTCGATTCAGGGACGGACCTCTTTGCTGCGACCCCGAATATTCGAAATTTTCGAATCGACAGTGGCGCGTCTTCGAATCGGTTGCACGGAAGCGGTTGAATTTGGCGTGCAAAGCGTTGTTTTTATGCCAAAGCAAGATCGGATAATTAATTTTTCTTCTTTTTGTATATGCCCTTCCTTTATTATGAAATGTGTTTTGACACGCACTATTTTTTTTTTAGTTTCAGTTCGAATTCGATTAGATTCGGAATCTTCAAAAGTTCGATTCGATTCGACAACTTTTTTCAGATTCGATTCGAGTTCGAAACTTTTTTTTGAGATTCGATTCGAAATGAAAATCCTTGAATCGCACATCCCTAGTGCTTACACACACAGTACTCACTCACATAAGTGCTGCAATTTTGGAGCATGTCTTGTCGAGACGAATCCATTGATATATGGAAGAGTCATTTTGGACAATTTTGAAAATTTACATCCTATTAAAGAATGAGACAAGCTAGAGTAAATTTTCAAAATTGTCCAAAATCAACGGATTTGTCTTGACAAGACCATAATATTTAAGTGCTCATGTCATAAGCTTGGACACAAACTCAGAAAATTGGTTCCAGAATTTAAGTAAAACGGCCAGAATGATGCATCTTTACTTATCAAGAAACAAAAGATATTGCAAAAGGCTTTGATAGTGAACCATTTCATAATGACCTCTACCCCTAAAAACAGTTTCATCAAAATCGGAGACATGAACTTCTAAGAGTTCGTTGGTTGGCATGGAGTCGCCCAAATCCGAATGCTGCTTTGAGTGCCGATGTGTTGCAAAAGAGTCTGCCGAGCGCAGGCCAGCGCCGCAGGCCAAGGTAGGTGAAAACGCCACTGTGAGAAAAAAGTACGGAAAAAGTACGGAACATGTCTGGTCAATAATTTGCCTGGACCGTCCGAACTTCCAAACTACGGAACGTTCCGTACCTATTTTCCGTACCTATTTACATGGGTTTATATGGAGCTAGTACGGAACGTTCCGTACTTTTCTCCGTACCTCCGTACTATATTTTTCTGTACCATTTCCGTACAAAAGTACGGAATTTTTTACAGTGGCCAGGCGCTCTGCATACGAGAAGGCGATACTTAAGTACATTTTTTGGCGATACAATTGAGTATCGCCAACAAACGGCCTTACGAAAAAGTATTGCCTTCAGAACGGCGACAGTGCCTAAATTGTTCGAACTGGTGCACCATCGCGAAGCCTGTTTCGACAAGCCACAACCTGGCGTACACCTACCTTGTATCTCAGGCCTTTCTGATGCCTGTGATACTTTCCTTTCCTCTATGTGTACCCTCAAATCTTCCGCCACCTGGATCAGTCATGCTAAAGCGTTCCTACCTCGTTACTGTTTGTTCCTCGTTTTCCGTAGCTGACGTACTGATCGCGACGTTGGAGTCCCGGCATGCGACGTGTACATCACTTCCCGCCTCAGAGGTTGTCATCTTCAACGCACGGGTCCACTCCTATTCGTGGACTCACACTGGCAGCGCTACTTCCTAAGACAGAAACAAAACAACAGAGGTCAAGTCGGTGTTTCCATGGATTCGCATTCATTTGACTGTCAGAGTTCCAAAGCAAAAAGTTAGATCTTTTCAACTTCCAAAAAAAAATTCAGATAACCAAAATTTGGACAATTTCTGGCAAATTTTGATGTCTTTTAGTGAAAACTACAAAACTTTTCTGTGATGATGCGTGAGACAGGGGACGAACGGACGGACGGACGAATAGCATGCACCGTACTACCCCCCCCCGTATCTATTTTACAATAACTACGCGGAACGGGCCAAATGGGGCAAAATTCGTATACTTTGAACCACAATGGCACTACAAACCTATCTACTAAGTACACTCTTACAAATGCATGCTTGCAAGTACACACTTACAAACGCATGCTTGACGCATGGAGTTACCCATTGCTGAGTTATACCCACGCATGCTTTACGCCGTATAACTCCATGCGTCAAGCATGCGTTTGTAAGTGTGTACCTGCAAGCATGCATTTGTAAGTGTGTACTTGGCCAAGCATGTCTTAAAGGCTCGGACTGGCCAGGGCAGATAGGCAGAAAAATCTGCCGGGGCCCTCGGCCGGTCGGGGCCCCACAGACTGGGTGCGGGCCAAGAAACCTAACTATCGATATAAAATGTTCTACATAAACCTCAGTACAATACCATAATAAGAACAAAGTTATCGAATCTAAAGTTAAGCTAATTAAACGTTGAAAATCATGAAGAAATTATGCTTGACAAAGATGTAATTAATAAGAAGTTTGATGCAACTTCTGCTGAATTGACCAGGATACTTTTTAAGATGTATGCATAAAAATATTTTCAATATTTTAAACCAAGTGTGTCTCTCTGCCAATACCCATTTTAACGCAGCAAAAATGTCGGGGGGGGGGGGGGGTTAGAAACATCCATATGATGATCGGGGGCCTTTTGCGGTCTTTTCTGCCGGGGCCTTGGGGGGGCCAGTCCGAGCCTGAGCCTTTGTAAGTGTGTACTTAGTAGACAGTTAGGTTTGTAGTGGGTTTGAAAGAAATCCGAGCCGCAACACTTATGGCACTAGAGACTCAACTTCACTGGTAAAACTAAGGCGTACTATTACGCCCTTCGTGAAGCGTACAGCCAGTACGCCCTTCTTCAAGCGTACGAGTTCATACGCTCCTTTCTTCCTATCTTAATGCATGGGGGAATTGCCTTGAAGCGTAGTTGTACGCTTCAAGAAGGGCGTACAGTCTTGAAGCGTAGTTGTACGCTTGAATGAAGCGTACAACTACGCTTTAGTTTTACCAGTGTTAATGGGTAACAAACGAAAGAGACGAGCGTCGAGCTGCCGAGCTGGTTCGCGGCCCGGGCCCGGGCAAAGTGGAGCAGAGTGGGTAGGGTTGGGGGTAAAGCTTGCGCCCGCACGCCACCCCCACACGGCAAAAACGGTTTATGTTTTTTTTTTCAGGTAGCCAATAAGACAGGTGGTTTCCAGGTAGTTATCGCGGGAAAACGAGATATTTTTAGGCACGAAGTAGCCTTATAGTATACCCAGGATTCAGCCGGCCCGAGATTCAATTTGTGTGGCCCTTTATGCATTTCGGAAATTTTCTATACTAGGGGTACGCGCCGTTTAGTGTGGGCGCGTAGTGTGGCTGAGCGACGCGAATTAGTTTGTGCACTTCGGACTTTGCTTAGGTAGACGAAATGTGCAGCTTGTGGGCCCATCTTGAGTGAAATGTAGGTCTTGGGTATGCATGGAAGTGATTTTCGTTATCAGCACACAAAATACTGTTGGGATCAACGTCAAAATCAATTCCAAAATTTTGGTCTAAAATTGGTCATAATTCGGTAATGCGTGAGTCTGGGAAAACTTTGGAAGTCATTTTTGAGTTCAGCGCACCAAAAACTGCAGGAAACAATATAAAACTCGATTTGAAAATTTTGGTCCAAAATGACCTAATTTGGGATGGAAATATATGTCTAGAGTCGAAATGGAGGTGATTTTCACTATCAGCACACGAAAAACTGTTGGGATCAACATCAAACTCGATTCAAAAATTTTGGTCCGAATTTGGTAAAGCGTGAGTCTAAAAAAAAGTTCCGCCAAGGCAAGCTTAGCAAAGCGGTCTTGCCGTGGCCCGGCAGGCGAGGCCGGGCAGAGAGGGGGCAAGGAGGGACGGGGTGGCTGTGAGGAGTGGGGACTGGCGCGGCGGCGCGGCGGCGCAGGACGACGACGGACGACGGAACCAACACGACCATGCAGTCCCCTCCGAGCGCGCTGAATAGATGGATGGATGGGATGGGATGGGATGAGTGGGATCGGATGCAGAGCTAGAAGCGGTAGCAAGACCGCTTGAAAAAATTTGGAAGTTATTTTTGAGTTCAGCTCATCAAACACTGCAGGAAACAATATAAAACTCGACCTGAAAATTTTGGTCCCAAATGACCTAGTTTGAGATGAAAATATAAGTCTGAAGTAGAAATGGAAGTGGTTTTCATAATCAGCGCTCCAAAAACTCCAAGAATCAATATGAGATTCGATTGAAAAATATCGATATCAAATTGGTCAATAATGGGTAAAGAATGGGTCTGGGTTGGTCTTCATGGATCACCCTTTGTCGTCACCAATACCCTGATGCCACACCAATGCGATTCCTTCAGTCGAGTAACATTCCATTGCCAGCATTGAATCGCTTAATTAGGTACTCGTCTGCTTGACTCACTATTCGATACATCTTTTTCTTCAACTAATGTATTCACAAATTTATTAGTTATATTTGAGAAGCCTTTTGTCATTCTTTCATTTTAAACCAGTGAATGAAACAATATAGACTGGAATATGTAATCATAGTTTATATTAAGTGACTCAGTTTAGGGCAGGCTGATCTGAAGCATTCGACCGAGAACAAGTTTTGTCAAATTCAGTGAATCGTCTCATAAAGTCAAATGCAGAGGCCACTTGTTGCTCAATACGCCAACATAATTTACCTTATTCATGCCTCGTGATATTTTGTCGTTAGAGTAAAAGAATACAGTATAGTATTAACATTGGGCTTACATTCAGAGAGCCAGCTTTTAAACCATTACCAATACTTAGTTCCAGTTGTCGGACACAAACTTTGGTGAAGTGAAAGGAATCGTGTCATTAAATCCAATTACCAAGTCTCCCACCGCTCGAAACCTGAATCGTCTCATTGAACCGAGTATCAGTTCAATCTGTTAGCACTAAATATATGGATTATTTACTGAACTAAATACATCTATTTATGGATTCTTTTAATCAATAGATGTTAGTACTAGAATATTTATGTTAGCTTGCAGCATTGCAATAGCATGTCATTTCCCCGAGACAAACCAAGACAATTAACAATTCTTCTAATTTCAACAGAAGTTATTCATGCATTTACCTGGTTTGATTTGCTATGAAATTTAAAAATAAGGATAGTATCAGAGAGAATAAAATCAGTAAATGCACACAAAGGCAAAGAAAACATTCTATTTACAATCCGCAACTACACACAGTGCACTGACCTGAAGGAAGATTCCCCTGTGACGGGGGAGGGGGGAGAGGGGAACGAAACACGTAAACCATTCTCACATTTAGTTTCCGTATTTTCCTCTGTTGACACTTCGGAAGGGTTTCAATCATTCTAGAATGTTAAAAAACTGTCTCAGTACCTATTTGAGAACCCCTTTGCTCTTTAGTTTGTTTATTTGCATAAGTGCCGTCCCGTCTTGCAGACGGCTTGCAAGCGCGGCAGCCGGTATGAGAAATTGGTCAGCCACACACTGCTACCAACCTAACCACGCTAATTACCGTAGAACGGGGTAATATGAGACATGAAGGAAAATCGAGACACAGCGCCCTTTTTTTGGTTTTTGTCGTGTTGCTCTCAAGCGGTTGTTCCGAAGACCATCGTGAATTTTTTTTCGTTATCTAGGAGGCCTTGGCAGCTCACAGGAAACGCACGAAGGCAATCGGAGCCTCACCAGGGTTATTAAGAACCAAACGAAAATCCTCTAAATTCTGACAAGTTTCAGAAAGTTCGCAAAAACCTCCCCAGAAACCTCGGTTGGCACTCGGGTTCTCGTCCGAACGAGGTTTAAATCTGTAGACAATCATGTTAACATAATCAGGACAAAATTGGGTTCTGTTATGTCTACCCCCGGGCCGCCTGTTCCAGATGGAATACAATTTTGTTACCTTGCATGGAAAATAGAGACACCTCTTTTCGTTTGAAACATGAGGCCAAACTGTTATTTATTTCAAGTAATAATGATTTTAACACGAATTGGTTTTACTACCTGACCGGCATCTATGCTCTTTGATTAGTATTTTCATGTGACAGGCGCAACTCATGACTTCTTAGACATTTTTCAGCTCCCTTGAGTGACACCCATTTTTCTTCCCTCCAGATTTTATCTCTTCTTCATTATGGTCCCCAATCATCTTAAACATGAATGAAAAGAACTTAAAAAGCTCCAAACCCGCCTAAATGAGTTAATTCTCCATACTTCTTTACCATTTTTCTCTTTTGTCTCATATTCCCCCACATTGCAGGGAAATATGGGACGGCATTCCGAGGGTTATTGAAAGGTCCCTACTGCACCTAAAAATCTGAAATTTGGAGAGAGTGTAGCCAAAGGGTCAATGAACAAGTGATGAACACCTCAGCACCTCAAGTTGAAATTAAAAGGGGGAAATTTACAAAAAACCTCGAAATTTGTCTCATATTACCCCGTTCTACGGTACCTAGTTCAAAACGATGTTTTGAATATTTCAAACGATGATAATTGTTAATCTGAGATAAACTCCCCCTGTAGGATAATTAGGAGACATCAGGTGTGAAATTTGGGTACTATTCGTTCAGTAGTTGCTGAGAAACGTGAGTGATTACATACAGAGGGACAGACAGACAGACGCACGACCAGTCACTTTTTGGAGCGCCCAAACACGGCAAGGGCTTCGCTATCGCTCAGCCAACGATTTTAATGAGACTTTGCAGACTTGTAGAACTTTGAACGCTGATTCTCATGCTGAAATCTGGTTAAAAAGTTGGTGGCCAATTTTGAGAAATTTGCTGTCAAAATCGCCGTTTCCATGGCAAAACTCGACTCGTCGAAGGAAAAAAAAAGGGAGTGGGGGGAGCCGAGCCGGGGCGGACCAATAGCCGAGCTTCTTTTTGGGTCTGTACAGCTTACTCCAAAAGCTGAAATCAGCACGTTCGAAATGAAAAATTTCTTTGACTGCAGGTAGACAAGATGCAACAACAGAATTGGTGTCGGTTCGAACGCAGTTTTTCGGGTAGAACTATCCAATAATACTTCTTGATTGGAGTGTTTTTGGACATGCGCAGTAGGTTTGCAATCTGTTAACAGTTTAACCAACTGTAGCATTTGAAATCTGTGTTAATTTTGCTCTCTTTCTTGTTTTTTCTTTGTTTCCTGCTCGTAAAAATTCATATAAAACAAATTTTCAATTTTTGTGTGATGACTTTTTAAAAAAATATTCACAGAAAATTAGCAAAACAAAAGTTCTTTTTTTCTGACATACAGTTTCTCAAATATTCCTTTTTTTCTGTCAATAAAACAATTTTGTTGTTGTTGTGACTCAGTTAGCACTAGGAGCACTTCGCTCCACCTCGCGACTTGAAGTGCTCATGTTCCTCGAACAAGACTCACCTGCGTTTCGAAACCATCCCTCCCGAGTTTATGAAGTTTGTCAAACCAACCGTCGTGGTGTTGATACGTTGTAAGGGAGAACTATTACACAGAATTGAAGAAAACATGACTAGAGAACCATAGCCATTTGAAACAAGCCAAACAATTCAACGTCAGCAACAATAGATGGACAGTTTTAATGCGCGACTGCTGGTGCTTTCAGCTTCGCGATTTTCGCAAGGGCGCAGACACCGAGAAACTAGTTGCCAACCCGTGAAAATTAATTTACTGCCTTCTTTCTGCCAAGAACATTTTAATAATGATGGACTTTAAAGATGTTCTATTGTCAGAACACTGCGGAATACATTAGCATTGGAATTTTTTGAATTTACCAGCATTTTGATTTCTATTTTGTCAAGTTTAAATTTCGACGGGTGGCACATCGACCACATTGGTACCACTGCCATTGGTAGTCCCCTGAGCCACAACTTCACAACACCTCTTCTTTTCTCTCTCCACATTCTTACACAATAATCAAATTGACTTCGTGACTCCTAGGATTTCTTGAAATCGTTTTTTTTTTGTGATACCTGCGCAGCTTGCCTGCCTCCACGACCCAGCTCGGCCACGCGACGCTCTTCTGTTCTTTCGGCTGCCACTAGACTCCCCGTCTGCATTTCCTTTGATAAACCTAATTCCATGGCACACTAATATTCGTAAGTGCACTGCAAAAAATAACCACAACAAGTACACAAATATCTGGCAAAGTTTTTGTCAGGAATTTATTGTACTTTTTAAGTACAACAGTAGAAAGTACAATGAAACCGGCATGACGAGTGCTGGGCAGTCCAGGCCTCGTCGTCGTTTGTACAATCTCGTTGTACTTTATACAACCCCTGTTGTACTTTAATTGTACAGTTTTTCTTGTTCTTTGATTGTACCAGGTGGGTCACGGACCCCGTGTGAAATGGTTACTATGCAACCCGCTCGGAGCCCTGCAACCGGGCTTGCCTATGCGGCAGTCGGTGGGCGAACGGGAGGACTAGAGGTGCCACCCGTCTTGCCCAGCCCCAGTTGTCGTTCCGCGGACACCTCGCGGCCTCCGCGAGGGCAGTCCGCCGCGGGTCTCGCGAGTCCTCTCGCGGACTTCGCGAGTCCTTTCACGGGTTTCGCGAGGGCAGGCCGCGAGGACACGGAACGCCCGTGAGGACTCGCGAAGCCCGCGGCAGGACTCGCGGAATCCGCGGACTGCCCTCGCGGAGGCCGCGAGTTGTTCGCGGAACGACAACTGGGGCTGGGCAAGACGGGTGGCACCCCTAGTCCTTCCGTCCGCCCGCCGACTGCCGCATAGGCAAGCCCGGATGCAGGGCTCCGAGCGGGTTGCATAGTAACCATTTCACACGGGGTCCGTGACCCACCTGGTACTATCCACACTTTTTCTTGCAGTGTGTCTTCACCTTTGCTGCGCTGTTGAACGGCACCGTCCGCGCTTCGGAGAAGAAGAACGAGCGTCTGGACAGTGCAGGCGGGGACGATGCCAGGGACGGACTGCGGGGCAAAGCCATGTCTGGGACCACTGTCATTCCAGGAACGTGACACCACGTTGAAATAAAGGTTACAAAATGTCACGTTCCTTTGAGCGTGATTTCACATCCACACTAAATATTTACGTTGAATTTTGTTCGTGCCACTAGCACGATTTTGTGCATGCGGGGAATCTGCATAATATAATGGGTGAAAATGCATAAAAATATGCTAATTTCTGCACAATTTTATGCAAAACGTCACGCAGGTTCAACATTATGCATGACGTACAATATTCTACAGAAACATTTAGTGTGTCCGTTTGATCGTAAATCAGCTTATTCACGTTCAAACGAACGTGACACAATGCACAAGGAGATGTGGCATTTTGTCACATTCATTTTGACGTGAAGTCTCGTCGACACACTGTTATTCCAACTGCGATAACCACTGTATATATTTTGCAATAAAAAACTTATAACATTTTTTTTTGCAATGATGGCAACTAAATATCTGCGATAAAAAATTTATAGCTAAATTTTGCAATGGAGTATCGCATTTTTGCGATAATGACTACAAAGAAAATGCAATAAAAAGTTATCGCAGAACAAAATGTGATAAAAGTTACTACAAAACGCTTTATTATCGCAAAAATTATGGGGTGGTTATTGCAAACAAAGTGCAATAACAAAATTATCGCACTCCAGGATGCGTTAAATCGTGGGAATCGCAAACTCGGTTTTATCGCAAAAATTTTTGGTAAAAGTATCGCAAAATGAATGACAGTGCAGTGAATCGCTTACGGCCTCACTGACACACCTGCTAGCTGTGCTCGTGCGCCGCGTCCTAAAGACTCCGCCTTCTCAGGAATTGGATCGGCGCTCCGCACACTGTGAGAAAAAAGTACGGAAAAAGTACGGAACATGTCTGGTCAATAATTTGCCTGGACCGTCCGTACTTCCAAACTACGGAACGTTCCGTACCTATTTTCCGTACCTATTTACATGGGTTTATATGGAGCTAGTACGGAACGTTCCGTACTTTTCTCCGTACCTCCGTACTATATTTTTCTGTACCATTTCCGTACAAAAGTACGGAATTTTTTACAGTGCACTCCGTGTTGGGCTGGTCCAGGGGTTGACGACCGTGCCGCGGGACGCTCAGCTCCAGACTGGGCGGCAACAGCGGGTCAATAAATCTCGCGGAATCAAACAGGGACGCGTCGGTGTGCGTGCTCAGCCCCTCCCCCTTTCGCCCGGCCGGGGGGGGGGGGGGGGAGCCAGCGGCTTCGGGTAGGGGCCAGCTGGGCGCTATCGGGCTGCTGCCTTCTGGCCTCGGGTGCAACAGCTCCTAGCCAAGCGCACTTCGGGCGCGCTTCGGATGCACTTTGGATCTCTTCGCCACTACAGGTCGATCGGGCCTGTGGGGCTGGCCTTCGCTTCGGGCGCCTTCGGACGCGCTCGGACTCGTCAGGGGGCCCGGCGGCGTGTTCGGATCAGCCGTGTCGGGCAAGCCCTCGGGCAAGCCTGGTGGCAGCGGGGAGGGAGGGGAGGGGTGCGTGCCAGACTGGATTGCTTGACACGGCTGACCCGAGCGCGCCCGGCCCCCTCAAGCGCCCGAGGGCGTCCGAAGACACCCGAACGCACCCGAAGACACCCGAGCGCACCCGCAGGCACCCGGACGCTTCCGAAGACAACAACAATTAACATACACTCTCAGACTGTTATTGACTTTTTGTCCTTTGTTAAAGAGTATTTTACACAGCAATAAAAAGTACTATTTCGTCAATATCTATGTAAGATTTCGTTCGTTATATTGACTTAAACTCAATTTGCTATTGACAAAGAGTCAATACGCAATTGACTTAAAAAATTGTCATTAATTGGTGACAATTTAGTCTTTATAGTGATCAATATTGTACATGGTTACAAAGGAAATACTACTTATTATTGCTGCTTAAAAAACTACGTAAGCAAAGGACAAAATGTCAATAATGGAGAGAAAAAAGTCATTACGAGTCTGAGAGTGTACGAGAAATGGGAACTCTCCACGTCGTCGGGTTCCAACTCGGGTGACCCGAAACAAACCGCCCAAAACCGACCATCCATTTAGGGCCGTTCTGGCTAAGCGAGAGGGTATCCCGGCACGTAGGCACAAGCGCGGATCCAACGGGGTGGGGGGGGGGGGGCACTGCCTGAACGGTAGGCAAAAAGCACCAATTTGACCCTGTAAATAGGCAAAAAGTGCTACTTTGCCCGCCCTTTTGGGTCAACTCTGGATCCGCCACTGCGTAGGCAACCGGATGCGATGCGGAATAACGAGCGAAAAATCCGAGGGGGAAACGACTGAGAAATTTTGTGTACATCGGATAGGGATAACCCCGGATAACCCGCGGATTACCTCCGGATTACATCGAAAAATTTCTAGGATTACCATGGGATTGCGCCGGATTACCCCGGATTACCTCAGAATTTCCCCGGATTAACCCGGATTACCTCAGGATTTCCCCGGATTACTTCGAAATTTCTGGTTATCCGGATAGCGGATAACCAATTTGCTGTACATCGGATAACCGAAGTCGTTTCCCCCTCGGAAAAATCTAACGAAAACAGCCTTACCCGGGTCAGCCTACGCCCACACTGACTCACCTGCAGTTTGTAGCGGGTTGTGCTGTAAGCTGAGCTCGCGTTCCGCGTTCAAAAGACTCCGTCCTTATAGCTAATAGTTCGGCACTCCACAGACTGTGTTGTAGTGGTCCAGGGGTCTACGCCCGTGCAGCGGCGAGGCACAGCGCCAGACTGGGAGGAAACAGCGGGTCAATAAATTATGCCGAATCAAACAGGGAGGCACCGGTTTGCACAGCCCCTCCCCCTCTCGCCCAGCCCACTTTCTCTCGGAGCGCGGGTGGTGGGGCGGCTCGGCTGGAGCCAGGCTGGTCACACCGGCAGCGTCGGGGATCGTCGGGCTCTTTCGGGTGCGCCTTCTGGCTTCGGGCGTCCTAGCCCTGCGGGCGACCAGCTGATCGGGTGCACCCCGGGTGGTACTTCGGGATTCGTCGCCATGACAGGTCGGTCGGGCTCGTGCGGCCGGCCTGGGTGTCTTCGGGTGCCTTCCGTTGCGCTCGGGCTCGTCAGGGGGAGGGAGCCAGTCGCGCGCTCGGGTCGGCCGTGTCTGGCAAGCCTGGTTGCGAGGAGGGAGAGGGCAGATGCGACCAAGCCTGGATTGCTGTACACGGCCGACCCGAGCGCGCCCGGCCCCCTCAAGCGCCTGAGCGCAACCGAAGTCGCCCGAAGGCACCCGAAGGCACCCGAAGGCACCCGAAGGCACCCGAAGGCACCCGAAGGCACCCGAAGACACCCGAAGGCACCCGAAAGCACCCGAAAGCACCCGAAGGCACCCGGCACCCGAAGGCACCCGAAGGCACCCGAAGGCACTCGAAGACACCCGAATGCAAGAACAATAGACGTACGAGAAATAGACACTCTTCACGTCGGGTCCCACCTCGGGTCACGCGAAACAAACTGCCCCTGACATCGATTTGGGGCCATTCGGGCGAAGAGAGGAGCTGTTCCAGCACACATGCAACCTGGATTCAGAATTTCTCGCTAAAAACTATACAGGTACCGCCCTGCCTGCGCTACCTTACGGCCCCACTGACTCAGACTCACCTGCTGTAGCAGCTTGTTTCTGAGATTGTGTGCTGCGGTCAAGAGACTCCGTCCACACAGCAGTTGGTGCTGCGCGCTAGAGGCCTCCAGCGGGAGAGAAACGCGGGGACGAGAAATGCTACGAGTAATCCCTCATACTAGTCGCTTCCGGCCCCGGGCAAAGGCCCCGACCCTACCTCCCCCTCTTCCGCAGGGCCCCTCTACCCCGCGACTTTAGGCTATCATATTTTTTGAAATCGGATTTGATTATGCACCATTTTTGTACAATTTGATTCGAGCGACTTGTCAAAGCTCTACGTGTAAAACACTCGAAAGCATGCGAAATGAGGTTTAGAACACAAAAGTACGATAAAATCAACGGAAAGTGAGGTTACGAAGGACAGCGTCTGCTGCCTCCCCTTCTCTCCCTCCGCTTCCCCACCGGGCCGGAAGGGACGAGTATAAGAGGACCGCGCGGTCAGATGAAGGCAACAGAGTCCACGTTTCTCCCCCACTGGAGGCCGGCCTCCTGGCCTACTGCGCGCCACAGACCGTGTTGTGGTGGTTCAGGGGTCGACGCCCGCGCGGCGGGGCGCTCAGCTCCAGACTGGGTGGCGCCGGCCGGTCAATACATCACGTGGACCCAGACAAGGGGCGTGCGCAGCCCCTCCCCCTCTCGCACAGCGCGTCCTAGCCTAAGGGTGGGGGTGGTGAGGCTGGGCTGGAGCCAGGCTTGCCGCGCCGGCAGCTTCGGGGCTGGCCGCCCGCTCCCGGGTGCCTCCTGCCTCGGGCGCCCAACGGGTGCAACAGCTGTGACCTATGGTCACGCCCGGCCGATGGGTCGCCTTCGGGCGGAGGGGACTGCCTTGACAGTGCTTCGGGTGCACTTCGGGCGCACTCTCGTATCTCTTCGCCACAACAGGTCAAAGATCGTCAACGGGTGGGTCGCGATGGATCGTGCTCGCGAACGTCGGTTCGGGTCGGTTCCGAACCAAACCGAAGCGACGGTTTTGGCTCAAACCGTTGACCACCCTTACCAAAAATGGAAGTGAGATTTTAGTGAGTCCGGTCGCACTCTTATCAACCTTTTTTCGCACTGGTTCGGCAGTGCGAAGTTGATAGGAAAAGGTTTCATTTTTCGCATCGATTTCCGCCCTCCACCTGGTGCGACTTTGGTGCGAACTAAGTGCGACCGCCGCCAAAAAAGGACGCCGAGACGGTCCTCGAACCGAGTCTTTTTGATCACTGCCACTGCCCCTTATCCATGACACCACGGCTTCGCTCTGCGAAACAGTGGAGCGGGAAGCCGTGTGTCTCTCCAGCCAGCGAGCCGGTGACTCAGGCTGCCTCTGCGCTGACACACAACGGCAAGGGATGCAGCTATCAAGTGGCTCTAACTTGCCGCTTTCTATCATTGCCTTGACATCTCGACTCTTGCTGCCTTGACTAGAGGGCTCATGTTCATTTTATTTTAAGTTCACTTGTTTAATATGTAACAAGGTTATTAGCTCCGAAATTCAGACTACAAACGTTAGATCGGGTAATTTTATCTTGAATATGATACTTTCATCAAAGAAGAAATTGGAGGCAATCATTTCAAAGTTTCAACTACTTCGCAAATCTGAAACAACTAGAAAATAATGGGAAAAAACTTGACTGTTCAATTTCGCTTATTTTGAACTGGTATAGGTTAGAGGCGTGCTTCCAACTCAACCAATGCGAAGTGGTGTGAAGAAAGTGCGAATAGTACGAAGTGCGATCTGAGGTGGACCGGATTAGCACTGGACACACCAATTTCGCACAGTTCCACCTTGGTCGTACTTTCGGCACACCTACTGTCGGAAGGAAAGTTCGAAGGACGCACTGGGGCCTACTGAATTAGCACCGTGGCACACCAATGCACACTAATATCCTCCAGGATCCACACTCCTTTCGTACTTTCGTTTTGGTAAGGGCAGCTTCGAGTCCCGGCGGCGCTATAATTTTTTTTCGCGATTTCAGAGCTGCAACCGCAACTAACATTTCACGGCACATATAAATACCGTGGAGATTCATTTTCAAGAACCTGAAAGGTACCAGAGACCGACAAAAATGCAGGCTTCTGCCGGGATTCGAAGCTGGGTCAGTCGCCGGCCGGGCCCACGCACAGTGATGCAAAACCGAAAAAAGTCGCTCAAAATTATAGAGTGCCCTGATCACTGCCAATTTTCAGGCTGTGGGGTTTTGAGGGTCGCTGACCTCATTCCTGAAGAAATTCAACGTATGCGACCACTACAGGGGCGGATCTAGGAATGTTGAAGGGGGTTACACTGTAACGCTGCGCTTGATCACTGCCAAATTTTGTGCAAAGATGTTTTAAGGGTCGCCGACATTATTTCTGAAAGGATGGACATGTGCGACTACCACAGCAGGGGCGGAGCTTTAGTAGTTTAGGGGGTAACACTGTTACGCTGCCAAATTTTGCGAAAAGAAGTGTTTAGGGTCGCTGACTTCTTTTCTGAAGAGATTGAACGTGTACAACCACCACAGGGTAGGAACTAAAGCTGGAACTTAAGGAGAAACGATTATGGTTAAGTTCGGGAAATGGAAGTTGACCAGTCATTTGTGACAAAGCCGCGACTTTGGAGTCGATTCTTTCGAAAAGCGCAACTTTTCGCAACCTGACACCATACAGACCTTAAAGTTGGCCCCAGGTACTACCATGTGGCTGTGGCTGACCGGTTCGCAAGTGTTCGCAACTCGACTTATTCCACTTCGAAATCAACAAAAATGGCAAATTTGGCTATTATTTTACGGCGAATATTTAGTGACTAAGAGCTTTGCCGTTAATTGTAGCAATTGTAGCGGATTTCTTGAACCCTCAGCTTTCCAAAAACATACAACATGTTACACTTTGTTCTGCAAATGCCGCCACAACGAACAGTTTTCGCACCGCATGTCGCTCTATTTGGTTTTTGCATCAAATTGCTCTATTTCAGCGCCATAAAAAGATAGGCCTACCCATTTTGTGGCAGAAAAGAGTTCCGCCACCATGTAGTTCGATCTTTTCTGCGCTCAAAAACGTCAGTCCCTTTAGGGATGGACTAAATCAACGAAAAGTGCTTTTTGCGCGACTTTTTACCGTTTTGCATCACTGTGCCACGCCCCCCAGGGCTTGACTCGGGACCGACCCGGACCGACGTTGGCGAGCACGATCCAACACGATCCACCCGTTGACGATCTTTGCAACAGGTCGGCTGTCGGCCCCGTTTTTGGCTCTCCCGGGCGCTGTGACAGCTGATTCTTGATCAAGATTTGGCTTTGAACTCATGCCATACCAAGTGTGACCACGTAAAAAAATAAATGCATAACTTTCAAAAAAAGATTTAAGAATAGTTTTTTTTAATTGTTTCTAGGTACATTTGATTACAGAGACATTTAATTTCATTAACATGACAGCGTAATAAACAGATTAAATATGAATTAACATCAATCAGGACAGACGAAGAAAATAAAATAGGACAAAACAGGATATGAATAAACATCAATTAGGACAGACATGCTGGAATAAAACATTAAATAGGACACTACATATTAAATATGAATAACCATCAATTAATACAGACATTCAGGAATAAAAAATTAAACAGGACCCAAAACATTGAATAAGAATAAACATCAATAGGGACAGACATGCAGAGATTAAATTTAAACAGGACACAACATATCAAACATGAATAAACATCAAATAGGGTGACAGACATGCAGGAACGAAAAAATAAATAGGCCACATTGTGCTTCACAATGTTCCCAAAGATTTCTCACTTACAAAGCTCCATCACTCTCATTCCAGTAACGTGACATCACGTCGAAATGAATTTGACAAAATGAAACGTTCCTTTGAGCACTCATTTGAATGTGAATAAGAAAATACAGTACAGTATATAGCTGATTTTCATTCAAACGAATGAGACGCAATGCTCAAAGCAACGTAACATTTTGTCACAATTTTTTCAACGTCCCAAGCTTGCAAGTCTAAGACAACGCTTGTCTCACACTAAGAGGTGTGAGACACGGTTAGTCCCACATCTGCTGCATGTGGTTCCCCGTGGTTAAATGCTACAGAACCCTCGCTTACAAACCCTGTCTCATACTTCACTGTGCGAAAAAAACACAGTGAATTCCGTTAATTTTTTTGCCGGGATTCACTGTAGTTCAGAACACAGGATTTACCGTGCCTGGCTACAGTATCTACTGTCTGGTACAGGATATTCCGTACTTCACTCCTGTGGTACAGTAAATCCCGTACAAAGTACAGTAGGTCCTGTTTAAAAAGTACAGTAGATCCTGTACTCTGAACTACAGTGACAGCTGTACTAACCACCACAGGATTTACTGTTATTGGCTGAGCGATAGCGAAGCCTGTTAGGCTTTCAGTGGGGTTGAAAAGTTTTGTCTGTCTGTCTGTCTGTCCGCACTACTCCTCCTGAACGGCTCGGCCGATCTCGGTGAGATTTTGCACACTTCTTGGGTATGTTCTTGGCTCGGCACACGCGAAATTTCACCATCCTAGCTCAACTGGTTCAGTTTTTATAGCCGAAAAACACCTAAAAAACGGTGAAAAATAGAGCTTTCTGCAGATAGATCACTTCTGGCTTGGAGAAAGGGGGGTCTGGGGGGCGCCCCGACAAGTTAAAAAGTGACAAGGGTCAAGATCGTGTTACCTGTAGATAAAACAACTCTATTTAGAATGTAGGGGTGTCTGGGGGGCGAAGCCCCCCAGCATTCAACAAGTTAAAAAATAACCGACAATGGACAAGCCATTGCCTGCCGCAGGCAGGCTAGCGCACCAGGCCAAGGTAGGTACGCCAGGCGCGGATTGGAGGAACAGGCAGCGAGACATCGCGAAGCCTGTTACGACAAGACGCGGTCTGGCGTAAACCTACCTTGTTTTTTTCCACAGTGTTGTTTGTTGCTCGTTGTCTCACAATTACAAGCGTGGGACAAACGTGACTCACTATTGTAAGCGTGAGACGGTTCGCAGTAAATCATGCACAATTGAGTTTGCAGTGTAGGACAGTAAACACAGGCCGTTTCCAGATCGTTTGGTCTTAGATTCAGAGGGGCCATCAAACCTCGCTAAAGAAGCAGATCCATATCTGCTTTTTTTTTTTTCGAAAAGAAGCTTAAAGTCACCATTGAAATACATTAAGGGAAGATACTTCACAGATTCATGTGCATTGGCACGCACTTTCATAGCCTATTTTAATCCAATTCAAAGAGTAACAAACATTCAAGGTTTGCATTTCTGAAACAAAACAAAAGGCATGCGCACAGCGGGGCGGGACACACTAATCACAATCCCATCTTGAAACAAGATCATAAGGCGCCACTTCATGCCTGAAATAAAGGGCTCTGTAGAGAGATCCCATCCTGTCTCCCACCAGTGTGAGTAGTCATTACCAAATTACACTGGTGAAAGAAAGGCATTAAAATTATTATTAAATCACTAACGCCTTTGGAAAGGGCATTAAAATTTTGCATAAAATTCCTATACCATTTACGCCCTTCCCAAGGGCATGAATCATGCCCTTGGGAAGGGCGCAAAGTGTATTCATGCCCTAAAGGGCGTAATTTTAATGCCTTTGTTTTACCAGTGTAGGTACAATACCGTGCCGTGCCCTGGAATCTGAATTTTTCCACGGCCTCAATTCCCTTGTGGCACGCCTTTGATACGGCGCTCTGCCATCCCTCACAGTTTTTACACACAATTGTTACGTACAAGTTATCTAACGTTGGCGTGTACGCAGAGACGAATACCCGCTTAATTTCTTTGATCCGGCGTGGACTGTCACACAGGAACTGAACGTGAACGCACTTGAGGGCTGGCAGACTCCTAAAGACAGGGGCAAAGTCCCAGTGTGCAACCAAGTGCGTCAGGTTCTTGCAGTTTTCTAGTGCTGGGAGCAGATCTGGTCTCGGCGGGAAGCAGGGGCGAAATTTGGCACGGACAAGGCCAACCACCAAAAGGTCTTTGATCAGATCATGCTGCCTGGAACCTGTCCTTTTCTCGATCACCTTGATTGATTTCAGATTGGGAAGAGCGTTTTGCAGTTGACCCCCTTCGTACACGAAGTCAGATTCGACGTAGAGTATCAACTCCTGCAGACAGGGAAGTAGCGAGAGCACATGCACACAGCTATGACCCAAGTCCGTCTTTGTCGTACTGTCTAAGGCTAGGGTCAGTCGTTTGAGGTGGTGTCGGCTACGCCACACCAACTCGAGGTACGCCTTGCGTATGCATCTTGGTGGTTCGACGTCTATCAAGAGTCCCCGGTGCACAAGAAGTCGCCCTAACGCTTGGATGAAACGGTAGTCGGGGGGGTCTCGTAGGACAAGAGGTCGGAGGAAAAGACTGATATTCAAATTTTCAACAGCTGGAGCGCGTTCGAGGACGACTGTCTGAATGCACGGTTGCCACCTGTTGGCTTCTACGGAAATGGACACGCCGTGCCACGCGGCGGGGTCAGACGCCACCTCCTTCCACCGCCGGCAAACGGAGGGGATGGTTTTGAGAAGAGTGAATCCATCGGTCAGGTTGCTGAAGATCTTCAGCAGAACTTCAGTTGGCAGGTCCTGAATTCCCGGGACACTGAGAACAACAAGAAATTCATCATTGCAGCGCGCGTCAGTGGAGGTCCTCCGCCAGCACGGCAAAACGGTTCCTGCTTTTCCAGATAGCCTGTGATGACATGGGTAAATTCCAGGGAGTTCCTGGGAAAACCAGGAACCGTTCTTGCCGTGTGGCCGTTTGGTAAGGCTCTCAAAAACAACCTTTTCATTTTATACTACCCGTACGCTTCGTTTAGTTAGGGCGTGTAGTGGCTGAGCTATTGCGACTTGCCACATTCTCATTCTAATGCAAGCGTATGTGCACGTGCACACTCTAAATGTTCTACGGTGAAGATTTTCCATATTATGGTGAAAATGTTCCATATTATGGTGTTGCAGCTGACTTCGTAACATACCATTGCGACACCTCCCAGGGAGACTCGACTATCTACGCGCGCCTGATAGACACTCGACTATCTCCACGAGCCCGATAGACACTCGACTATCTCCACGAGCCCGATAGACACTCGACTATCTTCGCGAGCCCGATAGACACTCGACTATCTTCGCGCGCCTGATAGACACTCGACTATCTCCACGAGCCCGATAGACACTCGACTATCTTCGCGAGCCCGATGGAGACTCGACTATCTCAGTTTTTACACATATTGTCTCATAAATCAATATGAATTCTACAAGTAGTTTTCCTTTTGATGGCACTTATCAGATACATACTAAGAGATGATTATACTGCGCTCAAATTAAGGGGGCACACCAGTGAAAATGCAGAGGTTTCGAAAAGCGATCATTCTGAGAAAAGTAACCGATGTATTCGATTGATATTTTATTCTTGGCTCAAAATTATGTCAAAGAAAAGGAAAATGAGTATGGGAGAGCGAGGTGGCAATGGCAAGATGAAGCGCCAGTGCACTTCATTTTTCAACGACCTTGCTTCACTCCTGCCACGATACCGCCTCTCTGGATTGAGCTTCGCGCACGGGATTTGAAAATTTCTCAACAGGACACATGTGGCTATGGTCTGAACCACGGGCATGCCAAAAGAGTGATTTCAAATTTGTTTTTTCAGAGGGCAAAAATAGAAACAAATTTTTTAACCAATTTTTTCGCACTTTCATGGCTGCAGCTCACGTCCTTTTTGTGGGATGGCCATTTCCGAGGTTCAGACCATAGAGGCAAGTGTAACGAACATTTTGCCGCAAACCGCATTAAATTATCTTAATATTTGCGCCCGTGAGAGTGGCACAAAGGTACAAAAAAGGTGTTTAGAGAAAAAGCCCTTTAAGTGGAAACATAGATTTGACGTGTTTTTTCGGATTATAAATGCGTCTTTTGACGTATTTTAGTTCAGTTTGCACCAAAATGTCCCTCTTTTCAACTGCGTTTGGGTGGTTCAAGGGATTTGTAATTGAAGTTCAAGTGAAAACCCTGAACGTTAACAATTGGTCAAAAATATGCAAAAATAATTACCTTTTTAGCAACTTCAAAAATGTGCACAAGCCAAAGTAATCGGAATTTCGGGGTGGGGTTTGCGGCCTTCGACTCGGGATGAATAGCAGAAAAATAAGATAAAATAAAAGAGAAGGCAAAAATTTGTCGATTTTCACTGGTGTGCCCCCTTAATTACTCGAGTGAGAATCATCTCAAAAAGCGCAATCTGAAAAATAAAGTGAGGTTAGGTCGTTTGTTTTTACGGCAATTACAACCAAACTATAGTTTATTGCGAACAAACAACTAAGGAATTTCATCTCCTATATATTTTCAAACTTTTGAGACAACTCCGTGACTACAATCTCCTTGTATTTTGTTTTAATCGAGGGGGCCATCCACCCCCGTAATCCTGTGTACAAATTGGCTGGTAATCTCTGGTAATCCATGGCGTAATCACGTAATCCTTGAAAAAATTCTGTCATTTTTCAACGTTTTTAGTCATTTTTCAACGTTTTTGAGCTATTTTTCAACGTTTCCGAACCAATTTTCGAAAATTTCACGCGTAATCCCTAGTAAATTTCCCGTAATCCCGTAATCTTGTGTACGCCTGAAATGAGAGTGGTGGCCCCCTCGGTTTTAATCGAGCTCGTTCTCAATTCTGCGTGTTCTAACTTTTAGCTCAATATTTTTGTGTGTTGTTGTGTACTTACGTGTATAAATCATATGCCGTCGTGTTCGGAAAAGACTGGACTTTGCGATGAATACCTCGGACATTACCACTCATGATTATCTAATTGTTCCGAAGAATCTAAAGTTTCCTTTGCTAGCTTTTTGAGGCGACCTGATTTAAGATAGTCGAGTCTAAATCGGGCTCGCAAAGATAGTCGAGTGTCTATCGGGCTGCAGGAAACAATGGGAAACTCAACTTTGTAATTTTGGTCACAAATTGGTAAATTTTAGGAAAAGGAAAGGTCTGGGATGAAATTGGAAGTCATTTTCGTGATCAGCACACCAAACTGCAGGAAACTCTGTAAAACTCGACTCAAAATTTTTTGGCCAAAATTGGTAAATATTTGGAAAAGAAAAGGTCTGAGAAGAAATTGGAAGTCATTTTCGTGATCAGCACACCAAAAACTGCAGGAAACTATGTAAAACTCGACTCAAAAATTTTGGTCCAAAATTGGTAAATATTTGGAAAAGTAAAGGTCTGAGATGAAATTGGAAGTCATTTTCGTGATCAGCACAGCAAAAACTGCAGGAAACTATGTATAACTCGACTCAAAAATTTTGGTCCAAAATTGGCAAATATTTGGAAAAGAAAAGGTCTGAGATGAAATTGGAAGTCATTTTCGTGATCAGCACACCAAAAACTGCAGGAAACTATGTATAACTCGACTCAAAAATTTTGGTCCGAAATTGGTAAATATTTGGAAAAGTAAAGTTCATTGTGTCGTAACATGAACCCTAACACTGTTACTCAGTCGAGTAACATTCAACAGCCAGCATTGAATTACTTAATACGATTCACAAATGCTTCAATTACCATTCGATATGTCCTTGTTATTGAACTTATGAATACACAATGTTATAAGTAATACCTAAAAAGCCTTTTATCTCCCTTTTATTTTAAACTAGTGGATGAAACTTCATTGATTTATCTCAATTCATTAAAAAGAGACACATTTACAGGCAGGCTGATTGCAACTACTTTACGGAGAAGACCTTCTGTCAGATCCAATGAATCGTTCCATTGAATTCAATGTCGAGCCCACTTATTGCTAAACGCAAGTTAATCTTATTCATAATGATAGTCATGATGTGATATTTAATCTTTAAAACAGTATAGCATAAGTATTTACCTAACATTCTGAATAAATTAAAAAGACAGCCAACTCAAACCATGACTGACACAAATTACCAGTTGTCGCAGACAATGTATGATGAAGTTAAAAGAATCGTCTCATGAAATCATATGACCAAGTCACTGAATCGTCTCATTGAATCAGATGTCAATGTCAAACCATGTATGCGCTACTCTCACTCACCATATAGTTATCTTTAAGGTTAGTACTATAGTAAACTTACAGCATTGCAATGAAGCCTTTCCCCAGAGTCAGTGCCAAGAGTCAGCAAAGACTATTTATTTTGGCAAGATTAGTGTCTGGTTTGTACTTTTAGATTGCATTGATCTATTTTCTAACTGTTATTGAGCAAAGCAAACAACTAAAAAGTATAATGTCTGAGAATAAAAATGGAAATACACTCTCAAAACTTAAACAGACCAAATCATTCTTGCAATTATCAAACGATCAAACACACTCCACTGACTAAAACATTTCCCCTGTGGCGGGGGAGGGGAGGGGGCGGACGGACGGACGAAACGCGTAATAATTGTCACTTTCATTTTCCGTATTTCACTGTGTTGACACTCCGGAGGGGTTTCAATCATTGTAGAATATCGAAAAACTAAGACCGAACTCACTTCTAAGCCCTTCTCCTCTCTATTTTGTTTTATTTGCCAATGTTTTGCCAGTCCCGTATTTGAGAGCCGCGGCCGCAAGTATGAAAAATTGCTATATATGCTGCCAACCTAACCACGCTAAGAACCTAATTCAAAAAGATGTTTTGAATATTTCAAACGGTAGTAATCGTGAATATAAAATAAACTCCCCCTGTGGGACCTTTAGGGGATGTTCGGTGCAAAATTTGGTAACTATTAGTGTTGTAGTTGCTGAGAAACGTGAGCGTGTACGCTACAGACAGACAGACAGACAGACAGACAGACGCACGACCAGTCACTTTTCGGAGCGCCCAAACACGGCAAGGGCTCGCTATCGCTCGCCAAAAATACGGGTGCGTTCTGTAAGCTAAGTCCCGCGACCGCATTTGGAGCTGTTAGATAGACGTGTTTGCGACGTAACATTGAAAGAAATGGTTCCCAATCACTCTACAAAAAATGTCCTGTCAACGCCGTTAATTTTTTACCAATGTTTGCAGTTATGCAATTCACGGCGTTTGCTGTGAACTAGTTCACGGCGTTCACTGTGATCTCGGTTACAGTGTTCACTGTGATCTGGCCACAGTAAACGCCGTGAATTGGAGCCTGATTTGCAGTGCTTCGGTGCTTAGCGGCGTCAAACTCACAGTGTTTACTGGGGACCAGATCACAGTGAACACCGCGAACACGATCACAGTGAATCCCGTGAGCAGATCACAGTAAACGCTGTGAATTGACCTACAGTGAAAACTGGTAATAAATTAACGGCATTTACAGGACATTTTTGATAGAGTGATCGCATTTTCGTGGTTCCATAGAACTAATCGTGAGATTTCATCGGGATAAGAAAATGAGAAATGGTTATTTACTTAATAGCATTCAGCTCGCGTATTTTTTAATTCCCAGTCCCTCCCTAACCTAAGATCAGTGCCAGTGCGCATGCGCATGCGCCCGCATATGTAGGGTAGCCTCTCGCCTGGGTCAGTGCGTGATGTGAATATGTGACTGGATAAACTCTCTGCTCCTGAATCTATAAACCCAAGTTCAAATACCGATAATGTTATGCCACTCATTCTTTTTTTCTTGCATAATCAGTCTTTCACAATTAAATTATTCTCAAAACATATACTCAAGGTTTCAGTTTTGTGAAAACTGATCAGAACATCTCTCCACACAGTTATGTGGTAAAGAACGAGACACATTTTTATACTACCACTGTTGTATAATTGGCTACTTGTTTTTTTTTGTTTTTGCTTAACCGTCCGTACCTTGTGTCCTCCACGACCTCGTCGCCAACGTCAACATCGCCAATGGGCTCGTCCTCCAGTGGTCCTCTAGACGTCGAAGGCCCTGCCTTCGAGCACATCGCCACCAACAGCAGGGAGTGTTCTCCCTGATCGTCCCGTAGTCGTCTACACGTACTTGCTGCACTAAATCCTGTGAAAGAAACAGAGTTCACGTTCGTGTTCCAGAGGACTCGCAATCATTACAGTGTGACAATGCCAGAACAAAAAAGGGGGCACTGTTCAGAGAAGTCGTTATTTTACAACAGTAATCCCCCCCCCAACAGTTTGTGTTGTAATTTTACAAATAATAATTCGTAAAATAGGGTTAAGTGCCGAATATGGATCGGGGTACCAAACATGGATCATTTCTGTTTGGGGGTCTATATCTGAAGACCGGGTTGCCAGATTCTTAATTTCTGTCTTTCCTTGCTTGGACTGACCTTTTGACTGTTCGATGTGAATCTGACAAGTTTGCAACTGCGTCTCTGTACTCTGCAGGGTGGCATTTAGAAAGACACCTAAAACAGGCCCCCGAAAATCGATGGAAAAATGACGTTCAAAAAGGTGATTTTTGCACCCCTGATTCTGGGCCAAGCAATCACCGCAGTCACTTCAAAATTTTTCATCGTGCACTTTAGATGGACTACTTTGATATTTTGGGACTACTGTATGCATACCTTGCTTTGTGTCCAAACGCTGGTGGGGTGATCCATGATTGGACCACCCTAACCTAACCTAACAAACTATCAGACAGTTTCAAGGAAGGTCTGGGCTATAGGGGACAATTATTTGTTTGCCAATATCTCATACGTGCGAGCCCTGGGGGAACGCCAAAATTGGCACATTTTCAGGTTTTCGCGCAATGATTGTCATTGGTCTACTGTTTGCCCTCTACTGGCCGTCTCGTTAAGGATAAACCCAACATGTTATGTATTTTTGGAAAGCTGACGATGTGACCAATCCAGAGCATTCCCCACATTTGCATTTTGGTTACTTGTTCAGAAGAAACAAGCTGGAGAAAGAAGTGTAAAATCGTGTCTTGGACGTTTTTCACTTTGAGATAAGCAGAGTTGCGAACATTTGCGAAAGGGTCCGAGATACGTCCGTGGTAGAGTGGGCCGCCCACTTTCCAGTGCATGTCGCCGTTTGCCCCCGTTTGCCCCCGTTTTCGAGAAAAGTGGCTCCAAAAGTGGGTAAATGGATAATAGAATGGCATTCAATTGCGGGATCCACCCCCGTCATTAACTTTTATGAGCTTTATTTTGTCAAAAATGGTTTCCTCGCTTCTGAAAACCTCCAGATATCAATTTTGGTGGCCATAGGCGTTGCGGTTTACCCCCTAACTATTACTGGATCCGCCCTTGTCGTTCATTTTTCGGGCAGAAATGGGTTCCTCGCACTTGAAAACCCCTAGACACCGATCCCGGCCTTGATTGGACCCCTCCAGAATTATCATCGCGTTTTAGGCGTTTCAGCCCACTGTGTGCCAGGGGCCGCGCGGACAAAGAGTGTCGGCGCGGGACGAGAACAGACCTGTCTGGGTTAGCTCACGGTCACACCGACTCGCCTGCAGAAACCAGCTGCTGAGCTCGCGTGGTGCTTACAAAGTGACTCCGTCTTCACAACACTTGGCTCTGCACTCCGCAAACTTTGTTGTGGTGGTCCGTGCCGCGGGGCGCTAAGCTCCAGACTGAGGGGCAACATACATCACGCTGAATCAAACACGTCGCGTCGCTATGGACAGCAACTCCCCCTCTCGCCCGGCCCAATTCCTCACGGAGCGCGGGGGGTGGCGAGGCGGGGCTGGATTCCCCTTCCGGTGGCTTCGGGAGCCTCCGGGCTGCCAAGAAGCAGCCTCGGTCGCCCGACGGGCGCAAACAGCACACTGGTAACGAGAGTCGTTTTAGTCGCTCTGTCTCTCTCACCCTTTTATGGAGCGTCCGCTTAGGTGTGAGAGGGTCAGGGCGATGGAAACGACACCCGGAATCAATCGGCAGGGCTGCAGGGGCTCGCCGATCCGGGCGCGCGCTGGACCGATCGGGTGCTCGTGACTTCGGGTGCGCTTCCAAATCTTGTCGGGCCCTCGGGCCCGGGCCGCCTTTCGGGCGCCGTCGGACGCGCTCGGCGCTTCAGGGGGACGGGCGCGCTCGGGTCGGACGTGTCTGGCAAGCCTGGCTGCAGCGAAGAGGGCAGATGCATGCAGGACTTGGGCAAAGAGCGCCCGCTTGGGACGAGAAAAGCCCTGTCTCGGTCAAACCTTACGGCCACACTGACTCACCCACTGTCGCGCGTTGTGCTGTGGCACCAGCTGTGGTCCCTCGGGCTGTGCTCGACTCCGTCTCCACAGCAGTTGGTTCTGCGTTCCGTGTTGGCGGCGCTGGTGCAGCAGCAAGGCACCCAGCTCCGCACTAGTTGGCAGCAGTGGGGTGAAGCGCCACGTGGACTCCAACAAGTGAGCGGCGCTGACCTGCCCCTCTCCCTCCTCGCCCAGCCCACTTCCTCGTGGAGGTACGGGGGTGGGGAGGCTGGGGTAGGGACCCTCTCTGTCAGAGATGCGCACGGTCGACTGCTGGAGTAAACCGGGCGATTTTCGCCCCGTGCGAGGCTAGCACTGCGAGGCTCCGGCATACAGGACATGAGCCCCGTCCCGTTTGAGCCCCGATGGTCTGAGCCCCGACCTGAGCCCCAACCTGAGCCCGGGTTGAGCCCCGACTTGAGCCCCGACCCAAGCCCCAATTTTCAGAGCCCGGACTGAGCCCCGACCTGAGCCCCGTTTGAGCCCCATTTGAGCCCCATTTGAGCCCCGCGACCTGAAACCACGCATTTTTGCATGATTTATTGCCCCGAGGCTCAAGTGGGGCTCAAATGGTGCTCAAACGGGGCTCAGGTCGGGGCTCAATCCGGGCTCTGAAAATTGGGGCTTGGGTCGGGGCTCAAGTCGGGGCTCAACCCGGGCTCAGGTTGGGGCTCAGGTCAGGGCTCAAACCATCGGGGCTCAAACGGGACGGGGCTCATGTCCTGTATGCCGAGGCTCCCGGCCGGGCAGCGTCCCCCCTCCACCTCCACTCTGGCCTCGCACTGGGCGGTTTTTCCCCAGTTTACTCTCGCCCAATCAGAAGCAGGGATGATACCCAAACCGAAACGATACCAGGGCTGTTACGACAACAGTTTGCACTTAAGACTATAATTCAAAAAGTGTAGCACCTGGAACCAAGGGAACAGTTTTTCCTTGTTGATAAAGGCGTACCGGAGTTTTGTTTCTTTATGGACCAAGTCCAAATTCCGCTCCCCTGAGTTTTGTTCTTTTTGGGGCCTAAATCAACAAAACTCAGGGAAGCGGAATTTCGACTTGGCCCATATGGGAACAAAACTCCGCACTGAAAAAAAAGTCTAGTAACGATAACCAGAATCCTGGTACCAAATACCAGACTGTCTGATAGAATATAACTCAACTAGAATTCTGGTAAAAAATACTAAACTGTCTAGTTGGCCTCAGTCTAGTAAACCGTACCAGATTTATAGTTATCCTCACAATGCCGCCAGGTCCCCTTCTGGTAGTTTTTACCAAACATCCTGGTTAGTTAATGTGCTTACAAAACTGAAATAAGAAGTCCAAAATTTAATAAAATATTTTTTCGTAGTGATGAAACCTGATGTGACGTCGATTTCGTTAACGAACAACCTCTGAATTGTTTTTTTTCCCTCCTCCTCTCCTCCGGATTCGAACCGGGATCTCACACTTGTGAGACGGGCACGTTACCACTGCGCCACCACGTCGCCTGTGGGTCGAGGGGATCCCCACCAGGTGACTCTCTACGTGTCTGGCTCAGGGAAATACTCCCAGTGTTTCTTTCGGATTTAAGACTCCGAAAATAACGAAACCGGTTGCAGTTTACTTTTTGACACCCGAACATTTCAATTAAAACGAATATTTCGAAGTTTTACGTATGGTGCCAATTACGGAACAGTCTAGTAAAATTTACCAGGATTATTAACCAGACACCTGGTAAATGTCACAACACCCGATCTGGTTACTGCAACTGATCATCTGGTGAGAGTTACTAGGATTCTCGTATGAGTAACTAGTACTCGTTTAACTACACTGTGGCAAAAAGGTACGGAAAATCCTGTTAATTTTTTTGCCAGGATTCTCCGTAGCCCTCTTATCAATATTCTCCGTAGGCTCTTACAGTATTCTCCGTAGGGCCGCACAGTATTCTCTGTAAATCCGCACATCCGTAGGACCTCGAAGACTGTATAGTCCCACGGAGATCACTGTAAGGTCCTACGGAGAATACTGTGCGGTCCTACAGAAAATACTGTAAGAGCCTACGGAGAATATTGATAAGGGGCCTACGGAGAATTACCACAAGCTGTTTACAGAATTTTCCGTAGCTTTTTGCCACAGTGTAGGATTGGTCTAGTACTTTTAACCATACTTTTTTCTCAGTGCGGTACGCCTTGATCAACAAGGAAAACCTCTTACCTTGGTTCCAGGTGCAACACTTTTCGAGTTTTAGTCATATGTGCAAACTGTTGTCGTAACGGCCCTGGTATTGTTTCGGTTTGGGTATCATCCCTGATCAGAAGGCTGGATTCGCGGCCAGCGTGCGCATCTCTGACAGAGAGAGTCCCTAGGCTGGGACGGCGGGGGTTAGCGGCGCGGACGGGCTGCCCGGACCATCCCTGCAGAGACGGAGTGACTAAAGGCACGCCGCGTGCATACAAAATAAACATCTGCGTGTCGGAAAAGTATCTCCGGCGTGCAAATAGTATGCAGCGATATCTCCACACCACGTGTCAATAGCGTCTTCTTCTTTTATAGGCAGGAGAGGGGTGGTGAGGCCGGGGTGTGGCGAGGGGTCCGGCACGGACAAGCTGCCCAGGGCGCGTGCGCGGACCATCCCTGCAGAGACGGTGTGGTTATAGGCACGCCGCGTGCATTTAGAAAAACATTTGCGTGACGGAAAAGTTTCTCCGGCGTGCAAATAATATGCAGCGTCATCTCCACACCGCGTGTTAGTAGCGTCTTCTTCTCTTACTGGCACGAAAGAAAGGTGTTTTGGAGTGTCAATAATAATTTCAAGCTTTATTTTCACGTGGTGCGCCCCTCGAAGTGTATCTTCTCATTGACACACGTCAAAAATTCAAACAAGCCGTTTTCCTTTGTAAGGCTTAAAATAGTTTGTAAGGTTTTCTCAGTGTGCACACGACGCCGTGGGGTGGTCCAGGGCGCCGCCTCTGGGTCACGGGGCGCTCAGCTGCAGACTGGGTGGCGCCGACGAGTTGATAGAGCCAGCTGTTTACAACCCCGCCCCCACCCCTCCTTACTCACACGCTCGCACCCATCACGCCTCCCCGACCTCGTCTAGACCGGGAGAGCTTTGGGTAGAGAGACTCGGTGTAACACGCGTCAATTTGGCAACACTGGGCGAGCGCTTGGAATGTTCAGCCGAAAGCTAGCTGAATCCTCCCAGGGTGCACCAGCGGAGAGGAGTTGAAAACCTGAACAAATTTCGCCCACCTCTGAAAGCTGGAAACGTATTCTGACATTCTGTAGAACTCAGAACATCACTTATCAGGGCAAGTTTATCAGAATTTAAGTTTTCCGGAGGTGAGAGAATTTTGATCAAGATTTCAGACATGTTTCTGACATTCTGATAAAATTTACAAGAGTGCCGCCGAGGAGCACGCCAGTGTTAGGATGCCGCTAGGTGCACTGTCATATTAATGAACTTTGTCCAGTATATGTATGTCTCACAACCGATCAAATGTTGATCCAAATTCCATCAAATGCAACGTATTTCAAGCATTCACCCTCGCTAGATGTCTTCACGCCTAAACCCAAGAGTAGAGAAAAAAAAAATTCTCCCATGCATTTAGACGGAGCTATTTAGCAAAAGACAACTTCACCACGACCCCCCCCCCCCCTTGTGCTTGATATTTTGTCAAAAGTCACCACGAAACAATATTTGGAAGTTCTGTTAACAGACACATTTAATTTCAATAACATGTCAGTATAATATTGAACACCGATATTGTAAAAATGTTGAACATTGATATTGATACACTGATACACCAATAAACACTGATACTGATACACCACCATACTTTGACATTCGTGCACTCTTGTACACATATACTGATAAACCATAAAACAAAAATAATAATAAACCATTGAAAAATGATATTGATTGAAAATAGAACACCGGTATTGAAAACTCACTGAACCTTGATATTGATACACAATTGAACACTGATATTGATAAATCATAAAACACAGAAATTGATACTCTATTAAACACTGATACTGATGGGCCATTGGATACCGATATTACAATTAAGCACTTGTAATGATAACAATTCAACACAGATACTGTTAGAACATTTAACACTGATATTGATATACCACTGAACACTAATATTGATACAACATTCAACACTGATACTGATAAACCTCTGATCACTTATATTGATACAACATTCAACACTGATATTGATAAACCATTGAGCATTGATACACCATTGAACACTCATACTGATAGACCAGTTAACACATCTTTTCATACACAATTCAGTACTTGCACTGATAAACCATTGTACACTCACATTGATACAACATTTAACACTGATATTGATGAACCATTGAGCTAGATATTGATACACCAATGACTACAAATATTCAAACAACATTCAACACTCATGCTGAAAGACTCTTAAACACAGCAACTTATACACAATTAATTACTTGCACTGATAAACCATTGAACACTTATATTGATACAACATTCAAACACTTATTGATACAACATTCAAGACTGATATTGAGGAACCATCGAGTACAGATATTGATACTTCATTTACTACAAATATCCAAACAACATTGAACACTCATTTTGATAAACAAGTCAAGAAAGACATTGAGACACCATAGAACACTCATGCTGATAGACCATTAAACACAGCTATTCAGTACTCGTACTGATAAACCACTGAACACTTATATTGATACAAAATTGAACACTAATATTGACAAACCATTGAGCAAAGATATTAGTACACTATTTGTCACTTTTGATATTCGTGAACTTTTGACCCCTGGCAATGATACAAATTTGAACAGTGAATTTGATCAAGCACAAAAAAAGCAAGACACGCCATAGTTTATAAGGCGCGGGAAGAAATGACTCTGCTTTTCTCTACGCCCTAACCGTAGAGATGAAATATTACAGAAGGAAAGAAGAGGGAAAGGAAAAAAAGGAAAGAGAAATTTCCTACTCCAGGCACTTGGCCGCTCGCATTCCAGAAGCGTGCCAGCGCCAGCACGTTGAAAGGAGCTTCTTTGCGTTACGCCCGTTGCAATGCGAATGAGCCATTTAATGGCCCATTCACATTTGTTCGGACGTGAATCAGCCATAAAATAGCTCACTCGCGTTCCAACGAGTGTGACACAACGCTCAAAGGAGCGTCACATTTTGTCACGTGCTCCAGTCACACCGATATGTCAAGCTCCTGGAACGAGAGGTGCTGCACAATTTCCCAGCCGGCCGCTGCCGCCGACATACATATCTTGCACTATGAAAACCTTGCAGCCTTTTTAAAGAAAAGAAAAGCAGCTTGTTTTGATAAAGTATTTTCAGCATACATCAGCTGACAAAAAACATACATCACACCCTATCATTTTTAAAGCAACACAAATAACTCACAAATTAATGGCCTCACCACAGTAAACAAACATACATGTACTTGACACTGGATTGCTACATCGAAATGCTGCAGAGGAGTAAAAGTAAGAGTTGGATCTTATGATAAACTAACACAACTTTTATGATTAAAATTTATGGATTTAACTTTAGACCTGCAATAACCCTGGCTGCATGACCTGAGCTTTTGAGGTTACTTGAACTTAACATTAAAGACGTACATAAATAATCAATATTAAATATCAATATATAAAGATTAAATAATCAATATCTCGTACGTATATACGATTTCAGTCGATATACTAACTAAACATGAAAATAAGACTGTCACTGCAGATTTGTAGGATGGTGGGTCTAAGGAAAACATTGTAAAACACCTCACTTCATACAAACACGATACTTAAAGTTACTTTTGTAGTTATCATAAATTGTTTGGCAGGTGAGACCTTATTTTGAACACACCTTTTTTCTGACCACAGCGCAGGTTGAAACTTTTGACGTCATTGTGGCGTGACAAAAGTCTCCCCACTTTGAGGTGAGACATTTCCGTCGGACCAAGTTTTGGCAAGGAATTGCCAAAACTTGTTAATATTTTGCCTTTCCTCTGGAGTGGCAGGAGGTCTGACCTTCGGACTTGAAGAGGAGGCGTTGATTTCAAGAATTAAAATTGAATTTTACACTGTACCAAATGAAATGAAAAATGAGTGCCTTGGTCACTCACTGACAAGTCTATATTAGTTTTGACATGGAATATAATTTGGTCATGATTAAATCTTAATGTATATTTGGAACTCAAAGTAAAAATGTTGGTCGCCATGTGCACTTTGGGATTTAAACCTGGTTCCAAAGTTCTCTGATTCACTTGAAACCGGCCCTACTACTGACTTCGTCTTGTCCCCCCGATTCCAAAAGTACCTTGCTAAAGTGCAGGAAAAGTTTACTCTTGTAGACGTAGACCGTAATCTCCTGCACTTGCAGGTTTCGACTAGACTTTCCAACGCCTGCCTGTATCGACCGACCCCTAGTCCTGCACTGCCAAGGCACTGCGTCTTACCCTTGAAACCATGATAAACCAATATTTCCCGATCGGCGGACAAGCTGTGTCCTACGCATTGAAGCGTACGAGGTGGAGGGATGGAAACTAGCAAGGCTTGCAAGCGTGGACATGTCTGGTCGACACGTCCTGGTGAAGGACGTGTGGTCTCCCCCAGTAAGTATGTACTCGTCCTACACTTGGGTACGCAGCTCGGACAGTCCTCGCCCGGACAGACAAGCGTACTCTATACCGACATCACGCATCTTACTTTGTGCAAAATAACATTTCTTTCACAAACACGGAACCAGCCAGAAATTGGGGTCTCTGGAGGTGTCCTCTCCTAGCTCCCACACACTCCAAACCTCGGAAACTATTAAGCCTTCCGAGAAAAGTAAGCTTATACAAAGAAGTATTTGGCAGGAAACATATGCTTACAGAGAAAACACTTCGCAATTTACGAACTATTTCTTCGTGTAACAAACGAAATTGCTCACACCCTTACACACTTATAGTGTAGCGTAAGTTAGTAAGCGTGCACCGGTGTGCGTTTTCACCAAGGATATCTGGTACGATATCTTGCCACAGAAACCTTTTTCTCTCATGGCCTCTACTCCCTTCCTGCACTCACCGCCAAGGGTGAATGCCGACTCACCAAAGAAATTGCACCAAACCACTACGTGCACTTTGTGTACTGTTGGCGTGTACAAGGATTCAATTACCCGCCAAAGGAGATTTATCTCAGCTGGAGACTCAACGGTGTGATAGATATAGATGCTTGTTAGAGCTGGCAGACTCCGAAAGACAGGAGCAAAGCCCGACTGCACGGACAAGTGCGCCAGACCTCGGCACATTGCCAGAGCTGTGAGAAGGTCTGGTCTGGCTGAGGGGCTTGGATAAAATTTGGCACAGACAAGGCTGCCTACCAACAGGTCTTTGACCAGATCATGCTGCTTGGGAGTTATCACGTCCTCCTTCACGTGGATTGATTTCAGATTCGGAAAACATTGCTGCAGTTTCCCCACTTCGTACACGAAGTCATCTTCCACATATAAAGTCAAATCCTCGAGGTTGGGCACTTGAGAAAGCACATGCAAAGAGCTATGACCCCTGTTAGTTTTCGTCGTACTGTCCAAAGCCATGTCCAGCCGTTTCAGGTGGTGTCTGCTTCGCCATACTAACTGCAAGTACGCCTTTCGCAGCCATACCGGAGGCACACGTTCAATGGACAGTTCTTCAAACACAATGAGTCCCCTTAAAGCACACAGAAAACGGTCGTTGCGTCGGGTGCCTGGTAGTGGAGGTGGGTCGGTGAGGCTGACGTGCAGACTTCGAACGGCTGGCGCTCTTTTGAGGATCGCCCTCTCAATGGACGGATTCCATCGGTTGGCTTGCACCGCAACCGACACGCCGTGCCAGGCGGCGCGATCAGACACCGCCTTCTTCCAGCGACGACAAACGGCCGGGATGACTTTGAGGAGGGTGCGTCCGTCGGTTACGTAGCTGAAGATCTTATGAAGGATCTCGTTGGGCAGCTTGTGAATGCCCGGAACGCTGGGAACAAGAAATTCGTCATTGTTGCGTGCGTCAGTGGAGATCCGCCGCCAGTAGGTGCTTGGCAAAACGGTTCCTGGTTTTTCAGGTAGCCTGTAAGGACATGGGTGAATTCCATGCAGCTCCTGGGAACACCAGAAACCGGTTTTGCCGTGTAGCCGTTTGGGCAGGTCCTGCAAAAAAAAAACTTTTTATTCTACGCAAGATAAGTTAAACAATTTTGAAATAATCATGTCTACACTACGAGATGAGTAATGAGCAGGGTAAACTTTGCGTCAGAGCCAAATTGAAGGTTGGACGCTTAATATCTTCAACTTGTTTGGCATGATTTAAATAATAGGGAAATACCGTAGAACGGGGTAATATGAGACAAATTTCGAGGTTTTTTGTGATTTTTCCCCTTTTAATTTCAATTCGACGTACTGAGGTGTTTACCACTTGTTCATTGACCCTTTGGCTAAACTCCCACCAAATTTCAGATTTTTAGGTGCAGTAGGGACCTTTCAATAACCCTCGGAATGCCGTCCCATATTTCCCTGCAATGTGGGGTAATATGAGACAAAAGAAAGAAATGTTAAAGAAGTATGGAGAAATAACTCATTTAGGCGGGTTTGGAGCTTTCAAAGTTCATTCCACTCATTTTAAAGATGGTTGGAAACTATAATGGAGACGATATAAAATCTGGAGGGGAGAAAAATGGGTGTCACTAAAGAGAGCTGAAAAATGTATAAAATGGCATGAGTTGTGCCTGTCACATGAAAATACTAAACGAAGAGCATAGATGCCAGTCAGATAGTAAAACAAATTCGTGTTAAAATCATTGTTACTCGAAATTATTAACAGTGGAGTATGTTTGGCCTCATGTTTCAAGCGAAAAGAGGTGTCTCTATTTTCCCTGCAAGGTAACAAAATTGTATTCCATCTGGAACAGGCAGCCCGGGAGTAGACATAACGGAACCAAATTTTGTCCCGATTATGTTGACATAATTGCCTACAGATAAAAACCTCGTTCGGACGAGAACCCGAGTTCTAACCGTGGTTTCTGGAGAGGTTTTTACTAACTTTATAAAACTTGTTAGCATTTAGAGGTTTTTCCTCTGGTTCTAAATAACCCTGGCGAGTCTCTGATAGCCTTCGTGCGTTTCCCGTGAATTGCCAAGGCCTCCTAGATCACGAAAAAAAAATCACGGTGGACTTCTGAACAACCGCTAGACAGAAACACGACAAAAACCGAAAAAAGTGCGCTTTGTCTCGATTTTCCTTCATGTCTCATATTACCCCGTTCTACGGTAGCAAGTTTGCTCTAATTTGTCGGCATCTGGGCCCATAAAATAGCTTAGACTCATTAGTGTGTACATTGTACATGCCTTCTACTCACTGTAAGACCAAGTGTGGACAACTCCAAATTTGAAATGCGGAGGTGTGGAATTTTCAGTCTGCACACTTGGATTGGACGTGTACAGTTTCCAGTCTCCACACTCCAAGTGTGGAGTTGTCCACGTTTGCACCGTGCCAGAGATAGGGGCTCAGTGAGCAGGGATTTTTACCTAACCATGAACGGGCACCAGAACCTTATCGTAAGCTTTGAAGTTGTAACTCGTTTCTTACGCCTTCTTTGAAAAAGGATAAGTTATTTTTTGAAGCTTCTCGAATTTGTGTTTGAAAGTTCTTGGAACGGTCAACAATTGTACCTCAAACGACCATTGTCGTATGTTACGTCATTAAAGCAGTGTCAGTCAAATGTTATTTAAAATTAAGGGTCTGTCAGCGAGCTAGGCCTACTCCACTCTTGAAGTGTGGAGACCAGAAACTCTGCACCAGCAAGTGTGCAGAATTACTCAAGGGTGGAGCTTTGTTTGTCGATTTTAGGATCAACTCCCTTCCTACCTCTCGGACTCGTCGACGGGCTCTTCTTCCTGTGGTCCTGATGTAGACGCGGAGGTCTCCGCCTGCATTGCGCACATCGCTGCGCTCTGCAGAGGAAGTGTTCTCCGGCGCACGTCTCACCTCGTCGTCGTCGTCACGTACTTGCAGCAACTACCTGTGTCGGAAACAGAGGCCAAGTTAGTGTTTCACACTCCCAAGAAGAAAAAGATAAGCGCTGAGAAAACCTCACAAACTATTTTTAGGCATATTACAAAGAAAAGCAGCTTGTTATAACAGGGTATTTGGAGCATACATAAGCTCACAAAGAAAAAAACTTCGCAATTTACGAACTATTTCTTCGTATAAGAAAGTAAATTAGTTTATGCTCAAAATACTTTGTACCCCCACCCACACTGTCCATCCACGGCGGCCAGAACCCCACAACACGGCTTCGCGACGCTCTTCTGTTTGGCCAGCTGCGTTACTGACTTTCGGGCTGCATGTTGTTCAAATTACCTGATGGGAAACTCAGCGTTACGTTGCGAGAGTGTGGGGGCCGGCCGACCATTCAGGCATGGGCGCTGCCATTGCTCGGGCAAACCCCCTGCACCACCAGTTTACCCCTCCCTCCCTCTACCCCTCCCGACTCCCGGGCTAGGTCGGAGCTATCGAGGTGCATGCTGGGAACCCGAGCAACGGGCACGCTCGGGGTCGGCCGTTCGAGACAGTTCGGCTGGCACTCCCCGGCAGGCTTGCCAGACCGGGCGCTTTCGGGTCCCTCCGGGCGCCGCACAGTGGTCTGGAAGGCCGATATAGGCGGACAAAATAGGCATTTCTATAATCTGTCAAATATCAAATATATCGGCACAAACCGTTAGCATACTGTTGTGGAGAGTTAAAAACAACACTTTCGGAGCAAGGGTTCACCTTGTTTTTCACACACGGGGTCTCAATCTTAATGAATGCGCCAACGCTAATTTTCACTTGAAAAAGTTGTCCACAAATTAAGTTCTGTCAAATTGAGTTTTGGTCGCAGCCAATTTCTGAAGATATAGCGTGAAAGGGCGTTCTTTGGCGAATAAATTTGATTACTCACTTTTGGGATTCGACCAAGTTTTCGTTTCGCTATCGACTCGCGAAGAAAGTGTTGAGCAAACGGTTAAATTCAAACTTTTCTTAGATCGAGAAAGTTTTATTCGGCTTCATTCCTTTTCATTTTTGGTCTAAAATGTCAGCAATATATTAAGGAAAACGATGCAAAAAGAATCATCTGCTAATATCTGCTACTCTAATTTCTGCGCGGTCCAACGTAACCACGGAACGCACAATATACGACACCGGCCGGCACGCGCGCACCCGGCGCACAGTGGGCTGAGAAGCAAAAAAAGCGATAAAAATTCTAATCGACGTCAAAATTGCTACTCGGGGGTTTTTGGGTCCGAGAAACTCAAATCTGACGAAATCAAAACCCGAAAACGACCGGCAGGGGGCGGATCCAGCATTTACGGGAGGGGGGTGGGGGAGTCATTTAGAAAATGCGTCCCTGAGGATTTTGGGTCCCCGAAAATCATATCTGACAAAATCGAAACCAGCAAACGACCGGCGACAGCAGCCAGCCACCCGGCCGGCCCGGGCGGGAGACGAAACTTGTCATCTTTGACTGCGATTTTCTCAAAACGCGGAACAGAGCGGAACAAACGGCGAAAAGGGCCCTAAAGAAGAGATGCTGCTCTGTCACCTCCATGTGACAGATCGGTTCGCAAACTTTCGCAACTCAACTTATCGCCTCGCAAAAATCACAAATTCGTCGATTTTGCAACATCTTTGACGGCGTGTTTCTTCCACCCAGTTAAACCAATCATAAACCTTTGATATTGTCCAGATTTGTGGGGCCTTCAGCTTTCCAAAAACATATAACATGATACCGTTATGTGGAATAGGCCGACCCCCAGAAGGAAAATTGTTCACAATTGTAGGATGTGTTAAGAAATAGGTCGATATTTGCCATGTTTGGCGCCCTGCACAGCGTCACGCGTGTGATGTATTTTCAAACGGACTCGTGTCACGGATAGGGCATGCTTTTCTTATGGATATGGCACAGTTTGTTTGACCTTCCTGTTCAATTTTCAAACTGCCCTTTATTATCGCTTTTTTCGCTTCTCAGCCCACTGTGCGGCGCGGCGCACAGACCAATGTAGGTGGACATAATTCACTACTCCGGTAATACTCTACCAAAAATAATGAAACTGCTGTTGATTAGGTTTTACGGGTCGCTTAATCGGATTCTGTTAAAATTTTGAACCAGGGGCGGCTCAGTTTTCCAGAAAAGGGTGGTATTTTTTGGATTTCAAGAAATGGCCTTCAAAAGGGTTGAAGCGTTTTGAGGACCGCTGAGTCTGATTCTGTAAAAATTTTGGACCAGGGGCGGCTCAGTTTTTCAAAAAAGGGAGTTTTTTTTTGCGTTTTTCAAGATATGGTCTTAAAAAGTACAGTTCATGGGTTTTGAATGCCGCTGAGTCTGATTCTGTAAAAATTTTGGATCAGACGCGGCTCAGTTTTCCAAAAAAGGGGGTATTTTTTGAGTTTTGTCCCCTCTTCCCTTTCCTGGAAAACTTAGCCGCCTCTGGTCCAAAATTCTTACAGAATCAGACTCAGCGGCCCTCAAAACCCAGGAGCTGAATTTTTGAAGGCCATATCTTGAAAAACAAAAAAAAAACACCCTTTTCCGCAAAACTGAGCCGCCCCTGGTCCAAATTTTTTACATAATCAGACTCAGCGGCCCTCAAAACCCGGGGACTGTACTTTTGAAGGCGATATCTTGAAAATCGAAAAAATACCTCCCTTTTCTGGAAAACTGAGCCGCCCCTGGTTCGAAATTTTTACAGAATCAGATTCAGCGACCCGCTAAACCTTACCTTCAGCAGTGTCATCATTTTTGTTTGGGTATTACCGGAGTATTGAATTATGTCCGCCTAAATCGGTCTTCCAGACCACTGTGCGCCGTAGAGATGGCCTCGGGCGCCTGGGCGCCCGACGGGCGCAATGCTCCGAGCCGGGCGCGCGCCCGGGTTTTGGACACCTTCGGGTGGACGAGACCGTATCGGCAGGTCTTGATAGCACTTCGGGTGCACTTCGGGTGCACTTCGGGTGCGCTCGGTGCACTTCCAGGTGCACTCGGTGCACTTCGGGTGAACTCGGTGCACTTCGGGCGCAGGGGCAGGCCGGGCGCCTTCGGGCGCCTTCGAGCGCATTCGGGCGCACTCGGGCACTTTAGCGGGCCGGGCGCGCTCGGGTCGGCCGTGTCTGGCAAGCCTGCTCCCCGGTCCGTCGAGCCGTGCCTGCGCGGTCAACCCCTCCTCCACCTTCATTACCACTCCTCCTCTTCCCCTGACGGGCCAGGTCGGAGCAACCGAAATGCATGCTTCACCGCAGCACCGAAGCATTGGCGCTGCCGTCGTCGGCGAGCCCGTTGCCCGGGCGACGCCCCTCCACCTCCACTCCAGTGCCACTAGCCCCTCCCCCTTCCCCTCCCGGGCTAGGTCGGAGCTGTCGAGATGCGGAGTCCGCCTGAATGTGATAAAAATTCGGTCATTTGCACACCAGACACCCCCCCCCCCCACCACCACCACCTCCACCACCTCCAGGAACCCACTGAGAGTGTGCCTTCACTTACCTACGCCTACTGGAATTTCCCGAATGTACCCTACTTCTGCTTATTCTTAAGAAATAAGCTCTTATCTCTCATGTGTTGAAAGAAACGTGACGCTGGCTTTCACACTCCGTCTCCACATGTACGGCAGCGTTACGCTGCCCATATTACGACCCCCGACAGGCCCCTGGCATTTTCTCCAAAGTACCCAGAAGTAAAGCCAGCCAAAGTTAGCCTTTCTGGCGACCGTAGGAAATTCGGTGGCTCACCGAAGCAGTGGAACTGCTGTCGCTCGAGCTGGCCCCTTGACCTCCCCGACCCCCAGCGCCCCCTTTTTCAGGGCTAGGTCAGAGCAACGGAGATGCAGGCTGGGAGACTTAGCAACTCGCCGCCGCATCGAAGCATTGGCGCTCCACACTCTGATTCCAGAAGCGTGACATCACGTTAAAACGAACGTGACAAAATGTCACGTGCCTTTGAGCAATGTATCACATTCGTTTTTGGGTGTGAATTAGCCCAAAATCAGCTTGTTCACATTCAAACGAACGTGACACAATGCTCAAACGAACGTGACACTTTGTCACGTTCGTTTCTACGTGATGTCACGTTCCTGGAAACGAGAGTGCAGTCGTCCGGGCTACCCCTTCCACTCCACCTGTAGTACCACTCTTCCCTCCCCCTTCCCCTCCCGGGCTAGGTCGGAGCTGTCGAGTTGCCTGGGAACCTGGGTAAGCAGTGGCGCTGCCGTCGCCTGGGCTTTCCCCCTCCACGTCTAGTACCACTCTTCCCTCCCCCTTCCCCTCCCGGGCTAGGTCGGAGCTACCGAGATGCATGTGGGTGATCCCCGGGCGACGGGTCATCTCGGCGCTCACCGATCCATCGAGTCCTGCCTGCTCAGCGCCACCGCACCGAATCATTGGCGCTGCCGTCACCCGGGCTCTTGCCTCCACCTCCAGTGCCACTCTTCCGTCCCCCTCCCTCCCGGGCTAGGTCGGAGCTATCAAGATGCATGGTGGGAGATCCCCGGGCAGCGGGTCCGCCTGGGGCGGCCGTTCGGAACCCTCCCTCCCAGCATGCGTCTCAATAGCTCTGACCTGGCCCGGGAGGGGAAGGGGGAGGGAAGAGTAGGGGGGGGGGGGGGGAGCCCAGGCGACGGCAGCGCCAATGCTTCGGTGCAGCGGTGGAGTTGGCCGGTCCCCTAGCATGCAGCTCGGTTGCTGCGACCAGCTGCGACATAGCCCGGGAGGGGAATGGGGAGGGAAGAGTGGTACTAGAGGTGGTGGGAGGTAGCCCGGGCGACGGCAGCGCCAATGTGTCGGTGCTGCGGCGAGCTTCCCGGTCCCCTAGCATGCAGCTCGGCTGCTCTGACCTAGCCCGGGAGGGGAAGGGGGAGGGGGAGTGGTACTGGACGTGGAAGGGGGGAGGGGGTGGACCGAGCGACGGCAGCGCCAATGCGTCAGCTGTTTTTGTACGTGAATTTGAACACTGCCCAGATATATTCATACGTTGAAAACACACTGACTTAGATGGGAACGAGCGTGGCGAGGTAACAGCTGCCTCCATAGCAACACCTCTCAATAGACAAGGGACCGGCCCTTCCCAGCTGGGGTCCAGCCCGGGCCGCCACAGGTGGTGGCAAAACCACTGCGGCACCTGGACAGTCTCCAAGCTCGTTTCGAGCTGAAACAGAGATTGGTGGCTCCACTATTTTACCTGCAGTTTGCCTGCAGCGCGTGGACAGTCCGGGTTGGGGAGTTGCCTGGGGGCTGCGTGGTCAGAGTGTCCGTTTGGGATGAGACTTACCTTGTCTGGAATAGCTTACGGCCACACTGACTCACCAGCTGCACCTACTTGCTGAGCTCGAGTGCTACGTACACGAGATACAAGAGACAACGCCCGCACAGCACTTGGCTCAGCGCTCCACAAACCGTGTTGGGGTGGTCCGTGCCGCGGGGCGCTTAGCTTCAGACTGGACGGCAACAGCGGGTCAATAACCCATCCTGAATCAAACAGGGAGCCGTCGCGGCGTACAGCCCCTCCCCTCTCGCCCGGCCCACTTTCTCGCGGGAGCACGGAGGTGGGGCGTCTAGGCGTGTCTGAAACGGCGAGGATCTATGCTAATGTCGGGCTGCTTAGCCGCACTAAGACACGCATGAACCGAAAGGGATTCTCTCATAAATCGACGGAAACAAGGTGGGTCTTGACTAGAAGTCAGCCCATGTTGCCATGCTTTGGCGTGTCCTTTTTATTCTCCCTCCTTACGGCATCGGGGGCAAGCAATCCCGGAGACAGTCAGAGGGGATGAAGGGAGGGTGGTGGCGGTTTTTATGTCCTGTGTGTTCGGGTGGCTCCCGGGGGCTCGCCGCGCCTTCGGCTCGGCTCCGCTCGTGTTTTTCCGGAGCAGTTCGGCTCCACTCCTAGCCAGCCCCGCCCGGTGAACAGCTGGCAGCGAGGCCAGCCGTCCCCTCACCGGTCCGCCTCCACCCCGCCACCCTCGCTTCACCCCTGACGATGTCTCCGGGCCATGTGGTTTGGGGGGGGGGGGGGGGGGGGCGGCACGCCGTTCTTCGAAAGCCACGCGTGGGAAGAGAGGGGGGTAAAAATCGGTCTTTTGTGAAAAGAGTATATTAACGGCGCGGAGACACCCGACCACAACCAGCCTCCGCCTCCCCTGGCCACCACAGATTCCCCTCTCTCCCTACACTTCCCATCTCCGATTCGTTGGACCGGCCCGAAGGCACTCTCCAGGTAACCTCGGAGCGCGGCCGGCCCCACCACCAAACACCACCACACTGAGCCTGGGCGAGTTGTACCCCAGGGTACAAAAAGCCTAAGCGAGTTGAACCCGGGGTACAAAAAGCCTTGGTGAATAATTGTATCCTCCCTCATCCAAAGGGAGGATACAACTAGCCTAGGCGAATTGTACCCCGGGGTACAAAAAGCCAAGGCGAATTGTATTTGCGAAAAACAATTTCATTATACTAGCCCAACTGGTTCAGTTTTTATAGCCGAAAAACACCTAAAAACGGCGAAAACTCGAGTTTTTGCAGGCAGATCTCCCCTGCCATGATGGAAGGGGGGGCCGGGGGGGCAGATGCCTCCAGCCTCCTTAGGTTTTAAAGTTACAAGGGTCAAGATCGAGTAATTTGTAGATGAAGCAACTCTATCCCCAGGATGCAACAAATTAGAAGTAACCGACGGTGGACAAGCATTGCCTGCCGGGCATACAGGACATGAGCCCCGCTCTACAAATCAAAGAGTGTACATGGTACGCTCTAACTGGAGCATGCCTGCAAGCACGCTCTAGCTAGCGCATGCCTGCCAAGCATGCTCTAACTTGTGCATACATGCCATGTACACGCTAACTGAAGCATATATTTACCGCATAAGGGATAGGGACTTTTCTGCATCAGGAAGCGTGTACATGGCATGTATGCACTAGTTAGTGCATGCTTGGCAGGCATGCGCTAGCTAGAGCGTGCTTGCAGGCGTGCTCCAGTTAGAGCATGCTATGTACACTCTTTAATTTATAGAGCGTCCCGTTTGAGCCCCGATGGTCTGAGCCCCAACCTGAGCCCGGGTTGAGCCCCGACTTGAGCTCCGACCCAAGCCCCAATATCCAGATCCCGGATTGTGCCCCGACCTGAGCCCCGTTTGACCCTCATTTGAGCCCCACTTGAGCCCCACTTGAGCCCCGTGGCAATAAATCATGCAAAAATGTGTGAGTTCAGGTCGCGGGGCTCAAATGGGGCTCAAGTGGGGCTCAAATGGGGCTCAAACGGGGCTCAGGTCGGGGCTCAAGTCGGGCTCTGGAAATTTTGGCTTGGGTCGGGGCTCAAGTCGGGGCTCAACCCGGGCTCAGGTTGGGGCTCAGGTTGGGGCTCAGACCATCGGGGCTCAGACCATCGGGGCACAGGACGGGGCTCATGTCCTGTATGCCGCCTGCCGAGGGCAGGCTAGCGCCGCAGGACAAGGTAGGTACGCCATGCGCGGATTGGAGGAACAGGCAGCGAGACATCGCGAAGCCTGTTACGACAAGACGCGGTCTGGCGTAAACCTACCTTGTTATTCCTATCTCTGAAGGTTGTGCAAGTTGATTCTGAGAAAAAGCTTCTGGATCTGTTGGCTGTAGCTCAAAAGAGCCGAACTACCAGGTCGACAGCCATGAATAGCGAGTCTTCTAGGTCTCATTTAACCGCTCAAATCATGTTGGAAGGCTTCAAGGAGGCTCAAAATCTGACAATCCAGGGAAAATATATTGTTTGACTGTTTATTGAAAATATTGTCTCCATTCCAAAAATTTGCAACTGAATCATAAATGTCTTTTCAGGTAATTTAAATTTTATTGATTTGGCGGGCTTATAAGTGGAAGCCAGGCTGCGGCTTCAAAAGAGACCCAAAAAATTAATTTATCACTTTTAACATAGAACAAAGTGGTTAAGAGTTTGGCTGAGGAGGTAAACAGACTTGCAGGCAACATTTAAAGGATTTTCAAAACATTTTCATTTGTTTATTTTGTTATTTCTTTTTTTGGCTGAGCGATAGCGAAGCCCGTTACTCCAGTGGGGTTGAAAAGTTTTTTCTATCTGTCCGTCTGCGTGTGTGTGTGTGTGCACTACTCCTCCTGAACGGCTCAACCACCGATCTGGCTGAGATTTTGCTGGGTCATAAGGTATGTCCTTGGCTCGCTACACCCCAAAATTCAGCTTTCCATCTCAATCCATTCGGTCATATGAGCCAAAAAACACATACAAAAAGGCAGAAAAAACACAACTTTTTTAAGTACTGTGAACTTTTTGTCAAGTTTCATATCGTTTCATATGTTTTAGAGGCTGCTGATGACGAAAATGGAATCGGTTCGGACCCCCGACCGAAAGTTAAGTCCCATTGGTGTAGATTTTGATGACCAAATGCTATTTTTGAGGGGATCACGCCCATTTCTACGTTGTGCCCAGGAAAGCAGCCTGCCGAAGGCAGCTTAGCGCCGCAGGCCAAGGTAGGTGTATACGCCAGGCGTGGATGGTCGAAACTGGCGCAGCATCGCGAAGCCTGTTACGACAAGACACGGTCTGGCGAACACCTACCCTGTTTATTGGCTAAGCATTAGCGAAGCCCGTTACTCCAGTGGGGTTAAAAAGTTTTGTCTGTCTGTCTGTCTGTGTGTGCGTGTGCGCACTACTCCTCCTGAACGGCTCGGCCGATCAGGCTGAGATTTTGCAGGGTCATTAGGTATGCAGGGTTCACACCAGATTCCTTTTTTCGTTTTCCCTGATATCCAGCGTAAAAATTACCTATTATCCCTGACTTTATTTTTAAAATTTATGTGCAGTTCTAGAGTCACTTGCATGCAGCTTCCACAAGTGCGGCGTTCAAAACCCATTCTTTGACGAACTTTTCAAATTTTCCCTGACCAAAATCTAATTTCCCTGACTTTCCCTGACTTCCAGTGCCCATTTTATTTTCCCTGACTTTTCCATGACTTCTCTGATTTCCCTGACCGGTGTGAACCCTGGTATGTCCTAGGCTCGCCACACACCAAAATTCAGCCTCCTACCTCAATCCATTAGGTCTTTTTAGCCAAAAAACACTTAAAAGACGGCAGAAAAAAGACAACTTTTTTGGTACTTTTAACTTTTTGACAAGTTTTATATCGTTTCCTATGTTTTGGAGCGTGCTGATGACGAAAATAGAACCCATTCTGACCCCCGACCTTAAGTTAAGCCCCATTAGTGAAGATTTTGAACACCAAATTCTAATTTTAGGGGGGATCACGCTCATTTCTACGGTTTGAGTGGGAAAGCAGCCTGCCGAAGGCAGGCTACACTGTTAAAAAAGTGCTGTAAATTAACAGCACTTATGCTGTTAAGTTTGATAGCTGCACGACTTGTTTTATTACAAGCATGTTGTAGCCCTCGGTGCTGTTTTCTGACAGTTCGATTGTTATAAAACAATGCTTCTTTGGAGTCTTCGATGAAGTCTTCGCTACATTTGTGTTGATCTCATCGTGTTGTTATTAAACAAGACCCCTGTAACCTGACAACCACATATGTTTTAAGATTGCAAAAGGCTGTTTCTAAACATGAAACCTGTTCAACGACGACACAACTGTTTTGAATCACGATAACATTATTGTTACTTGACAAGGAAGTTGTTTTGAAACGAAAGTGTTGTTTCTGGATGGGTTTCCCGTTTAGACACAAACCAAGACTGTTGTTATTAAACAGCATAACTGTAGGTGATTGTGTTGTAATAATACAGTGGATTTTTAACAGTGTAGCGCCGGAGGCCAAGGTAGGTGTGTACGCCAGGCGTGGATTGTCGGAACTGGCGCAGCATCGCGAAGCCTGTTACGACAAGACACGGTCTGGCGTACACCTACCTTGTTTTACCTTTTTGACGGAACAAGCTGGCACGCGCTATTCCGTCCGCTACTGTTTCAATCGCTTCTTTCGACGCTCTCGAAGCCCAGCGTCGCGAAGCAAGTGAAGAGGTACATGGAAACTGCAGACAGCATCTGCAGAACAGAGGCAGATCTAAGACTCTAATTCCAAGAACGTGAGAATCGAGTTCTGAATGCCGGAATGTGTTCGCAACAGCAACTCCAGCAGAATGACCCAATAAAAACTCTCAACCGAAACGCACTGTTATGACAAGGCTCTCGTCGCAGTGGCACACGCCCAGCAGGTCGTAATGGTTGTCCTCAAGTTCGATGCACGTGAGCAGAGACCGAACCTGGGGGCAGCGGGAGCGAGAGGTAAGTGTGCTTATGTGTACACTAGCCCGCACTGAGTGTACTCACAATTTCTTCAGATCGAAACTAGCAAAATTTACACAGGATTCGGTATTGTTTTGAGTTTAAAACGCTTAAAAGACGTAAAATCGTTAAAAATAAGCCGAATTTGTGAATAATTTTATCAGGCATACTGTAGTATTATAGCCCAGCG